GTTAGGGAGGTAAACGTCGAGTCAAACTCGAGTATTGTTAAATTCGACTCAACTCGGTTTGAAATTCGCGAGTCTAAAATTTCAAGTTCGAATCAAATTCGGAACCATGATTTTAAGCTCGAAAAAGCTTGAAATAAAAAAATCTTAAATTTAACTCGTTTGAAACTCAAACTTGAACTCGAACCTGAACTTTACATACATGAAAATCTTATATTGTATTTAAAAAAAATCAACACATTAATGTTAATATTATTAATAATTTACTTTTTTTAAAATAAAATTTTAATATATATATATATATATATATTTATATTTAGTTGCTCGCGAACTTTTCAAGTCGAGTATTAAGTAGTTTATTTCAGCTTGTTAAAAAATCAAGTCGAGTTCGAGTTCGAATCAAATTCATTCGAGTCAAGTATTTATCAAATTTTGATTGAATAACTCAAAAACCATCTCTCATTTACAAGCCACATGTAACCATCGAAAAAGAGGAGGATACAATGTGCAAACCCTCACCTTTTATTTTTCTTTTTACAATAGAAAAGAATTTGGTTGAAATTCTCCCACTTTACACCCCAACTCCATATTCCGCGCTTTAACTTGACAAAAACAAAATTTTGAAATTGACAGAAAGCCGTGGTTCCGAATAATACCCATTAATGTTGTCTTAATTTAAAAATTAGTGACGATTTATCCTTTTTTTTAACAGGTAAAATTTCCCTAATACAATCTAAGCATATCTGCACTTTTTAACTTTAAAAGAAAATCATTAATTATGATGATAAAAGATTTAAATATCATTAATATTCATAAAAAGTTTAACTCAAAGATTTAATTATTAGTTTTATATATAGTTAATAGTATTTGATTCAATGATAAATTAATATATAAATTAAATAGTGTAAGAACAATCCTCATAGTTCAAATTGTTTTATAACGTTGAAGTTCGAATTGCTGAGTTTATTTGAAAGATTTTATATCTCATCTCATTAAAACCATTGCTAATACATATTTAACTATTATTCTTTTGTTATTATTATTATTATATTTTGCTAAACCTAAGTATGAATTATTATTATTATTTATTTTTGTCCCATTCCTTGCAACTTGTCTGTCTTCTTTTAGCCTAAGGGGCCAGTTCATGTTGTCCTTGTTACATGCATGATAATGAAATATGAAATGAAATATAAAAAAATTGTTTATTTTTATTATTATTTCAATCACAATCATAATATGGGATACTACCGTTTACTTTAGTGGTAAAACTTATCTTCATTAAACAAATAATTAACAATTTTTATTCTAAACTCTAATTAATTAACATTTGATGTTACCGTCTCAAGGAAAGGACAAAATTAGGTAGGCCTTTGGAAATTTTTTAAAAATAATTTAATTTATCATTAGTATATAATTTTATATATCAACCATGAATTAAATAAATTCAAATACATGACTCTAACGTAACATGTTCCTTGTTTTTTTAGATAATTTTATATAATTTTTGGCATAAATATGCTGCTTGCTTTTTTAGATATATAATAAAACTTTAAATATATGATTTTGAAGATGAAGGTCAATTTTTAACAATAATTATTTTAGAAATAATATTTGTGTAAAAAATACAAAATTATTATTAATGAAATAATTAAATATTAATTCCTAATCTGTTAAATAAACAGTGGGGACAAACCACAGTACTTTGTCTTTTACGCTTTGTCCTATTGTTGTATTGCATCACTTTTGTTTTCAACTAGCTGAATAGTAACACTCTGCTTCTTACATGTATGTATAAATTTCGCACTCCTTTCACTTCATTCAAAACCCTGAATTAATCAAACCCCAAAACTTCTCCCTTTCTTGAGTTTTTTTTATGCTTTGTTTGGATCAATTTTCTGAGAAAAGAGTGGAATTTCACTAAGAAAAGCCGTGTTCTTTCTGTGAAAAGATCGACGAAAGTGTGTGTTTTGTTTGGTTGAAAAGAAAAATGTATGCCGAGACAGGGCTGTTTTTCCCTTACATGCACAACTTTGCTGCTCAAGATTTTCAGCAGCTTGGAGATTACTATAAAACCCAGAAACCCGATGATTCAGTGGTATTGAATATCTCAAATTCCGTGCCTCTGGTTTCTTTGTTGCCTTTAGTTTCCTTGATCTTTGCTTCTGTGTTTACTTTGTGCTTCATGCTTTTCTGGGTTCTCCTGAAAAGGGAGAGAGTGGGGGACTTGGTTTAATTTATTCTCCTGAAACACTTCCTCAGTAACCAAACAAAACAAGGCTGAAATGGAAAGGAAAATTGAAAGTTATCTTTACATGCTGGAAGCTGGAAAAGGGAAAGAAAAAAACAAAGAACTTGGGAATATATTTGGCAAACCATGTCATGAACTTCAGATCGATTCCGTAAACAATCGAACGCTGATGTTTGAGCTCGAATCTTCAAATTCTAGTCTAACTTTCCTGATGCATGTATTGATCTTTAAGAAATTTGAACTGAATTTGTTTCATTGAACAAAAGTTGTTATTTATCGGTTCATGATGCTTATTTCTTAGTCTTTGTTTTTGTGCCTACTGTAGAACAACCTGATTCCGACCTCAACGATATCCGAGTATTTTCTGGGAGGAGATGGTGATCTGTTCAAGGCTCCGGAGCCGATCATCGAAGAATCAGCATTAGGCCTTGATCCCATGACTGCTGCCATGCCGTTAATCTCGTGCAATGAAGACGTCATTACTTCACAAGAACTTAAGGCTGCCGATATCGAATCGTTTCGGAACAAGCAGCTTTTGGAGGTTCTCTACGAGTGCGAGAAGGATCTGATGGCACAAGCGGTGATCGAGACACCTCTGGTAGAGGTCCTTGAAATCAAGGTTCCTGTCGTTAAAACAGATGAAAACCAAAATCAAGAAAACGATATGTTCTGCAATGTACAATTCTCGAAAAGTGTCAGCTCAAATTGTTTAAGCTCTATGGAACGGATGCAGGGGGCTGCGATCAAGTCGAATTTTCTCGATTTTCCGGGAATGGATTTAGATTCTGTTTATGAAATGAGAGAGCATTCAGTGAAGGAGATATAAAGGTTAGCTTTCCTGTCGGTGTATGTGTGGAATACCACTCCATTTATTAAAAAGTAATCCGATTCTAGGCTCGATTTATTCAGTCGATGCACCGAACTTTAGGCCTAAAACTCGTAAAATTTCCATTGATCACCGAGCATGTATTGCCTTTGTAACAAAGTCTAGCAACTGAGGAACTTTTAGATGTTTCTGGCCATTTCCGCATGATGGGGTGGGTCATTGATGATACTGCGTTTTTATGACAGGCTCTTGGCAATGGTAATGTGAGCGTCATCCATTCTCCAGTCGAGCTGCCGTTGATCTTCAGCAGCTGTTATACAGAAGATCGAAGAGAAAAGCTCTCGAGATACAGGAATAAGAAGACAAGGAGGAACTTTGGAAGGAAAATCAAGGTAAAAAAAAAGAGAGAACATATTCAGTTTCATTCATTACTCACGACTCAACCTTTTGTCATACCTCTGCACCGGAACTCACGGTATGGTTTTCTTTCCCCAGTATGCTTGCCGGAAGGCTCTTGCTGATAGTCAACCAAGGATCCGCGGAAGGTTCGCAAGGACTGAAGAATCCGACAACTGCAAGAGACAATAACTGTCGGATGACTCAAATGAAACTACCGAGCGAAGCAGGAATGAAGTAGCTAGGACCAATAAGGCATATATAAAGGTAGGATCATTAGGTGAAAGTAAATGGATGGTTGAATTCGGATTGTATAGTGTCTGTTCAAAGGTAATTGCAAAGTAGAAATATGTTCTCGTTCGTACATATATGTGCAGTAATCATGGATCATTTCTAGTTAAAGTTGATACTGAAGAATACAAATAGTCCGTTTTGTTTTGATTATACGAATATGTTTGAGCTCGGACATAGATCAATAAAGTGACCAATTGAAAATGGGTCTTGTCCAATTTCTTAACCAGATTTTTGTCCTAAAAACCAGGGATATGCCTTGCCTTTTGGAATCATGACTGTAACATGAATATTGTACACAAACTCAGATATCCAATTTTAGGCATGCAATTTGCTTTGGACAAGAAAAGTTCAAACTACGTACCCAAAAAAGGTAAAACAAATCTAAAAACTCCATGGCACTCTAATTAACCCGAGTTTTCTCAAACCCAATTTTGCAAGACCTCAAGTCATCAACATCCCCCAGTTCTGGTTTCTCAATCAGTTCGATCAAATTAACCGGCGATCAGCAGAGCCATTGCATTCAATCATTGAGTTTGGAGATTTCTCATTAGTTGTATGAAATATCATTAAACAACAAAATCAACAGCAGCGGCAAAACGCTGGAAGATTTTTCATCTCACGACTCCGATGGCCACGCGCCAATGCCACTACCGATCAGCAACCAAAACCAGTTTCAGAGCATCCTTAGAGCATAAAGAATTGATGCATGTTTCTTTCCTTCTTTTAGTTAGAATTCCCATAGAAACCAGTCATCGTATTGCTGAAAGTTACTAATCTAAATGCTTGGTTTATGATTGGCATTGGCAGGTATGATTACTTGTTTGAACCACATGAATTCGAAGTTCCATGTCAGTATAAAGCTCCAAATTGTGGAAAATTAATACCCCGCTGTTTCTCCCCAATGCAAATAAGTCGTTATATACAAACCCAAATTTGTAAAAAAAATTCCCATGACGAGGAAATGCATCTTTCCTCTCTTTTGCTTCTTGACCCCCATTTTATCATACACAAACCCTGTATTGTCACTGCCTTAACTGGTCTATAGAAAACCAATCCTAGTTACATATGACAGAAAAATACAAGTTTAATTAAATTGTACTGCAGAACTTTTCAAGTCGAGCCATAATAGAGTTCACAAACTCTTAACAAAATAAAATCAGAACAGTGTCCGAAATGATTCAATAAACAACCATGTTAAATGCATCGAAGTAGATGATGCTAACAGATTAAGGATGAAGATGCATGGATGCGCCTAATCCAGGAAACCAGATGGCATACCTCATTTTATTTGCTTTATAACGATAGGCAACAAAAACATCAAAAGCAAAAATAAAAATGCACAAAATAGAAGAACAATGATATAGAAATTGTCTCAATGTGTATTTTCAGGATAATGATGTATCCGACTTAAAATTACGGACTCGGACCCAGACTCATTCGACCCAGGAATTTGACTCTCTGATTCCTTGGGAGGATCATTTAAAGTACAACTAACTGCACCACCAACAGTATGTCTTTCCTCGGCACAGTATACAGAATTATTACCTTCAGTTTTGTTTATATCATTTGAGTTTTCCCCATCAATGGCCGGACAACAAAAAGGCTCTGGTGCATTATCAAGTGAATTCATCTGCTGCTCAGTCTCCGTCTCCGTCTCTTCCACCTTATTGCCATTCAAAACTGGTTCAGGCACCTCAGCATTCATGTGATCAATATAAGTATTTGGTTGGTATGATTTCCCAGGAAAGGCACTATCCGGATGATTTGGTAATTCACTCCTTTGAATTGAAGCTAGCTGTTCCATATTCTCGTGAGAAGTAGCGGCTGGAACAGCGTTCCCTTTCTGCTGATCTAAATCTTCCATGGTTGAATCCACCATTTCTGCATCAGGCATCAAAACTGGCTCCTCTGCTTCGTCAACAACATGATCAGAACTTTGCTCCTTCCCCTTCTCCGTGGACACGGAAGTAAATGCTAATGTTCCACCATCGACATTTGGGATAGCACCCACTTGTAGCTTGTGTTTCTTGTAAATGTCCATGGCTTTCTGCAAGTCAGAAAACAGATTTTAAACACAACATTAGTTTAGAATCAGAAGGTTTCAAAATAGAGTACAAACATATAAGATCTATATGTTTCCTTCCATCAAAACAAATTAAACCTAGCTTCTAAAAGATAAAAGATAAACACAACTCCTCCCACCAAAGAAGCAATGCAGATATTAGCTTCACTAAGTACCTGAAAAATAGCAGCATTAGTTGCAGGAATGAGTGAAGGGCTGAGCACAGCAATGGATGCCTTTTGCACTGGACGTGCACCATTCTGAAAATTTTGAAAGGATATAATAAGTAAAAGATCAGCTAAATTAGATATGGAGAGGGAATAATGTTGAAAATGATTATCTACCTTCAAATTCACAAGCCTTTTTACATCTTTAGTGAAATCTTTACTTTGCTCCGCACTCAGTATACCCATACACTGGTCATATAAATCAGAACCAGCTAGTTCTGCTGAAATGTCAAGCTTAGAAAGATAAACCTGACAATAGCGAGCATCAACATCTTTGTTTGATATTTTGGGAGAATCAGGTGCCTTGTGTGGAATCTCGGGTGAAATCCTAAAAGAATCTTTAACTGGTGACATGAAACCAGGTCTTATTTCAAGACCTTTCACCTGAATACTGTTATCACCATTTTCATATTGAGACCTCTGAAATTCCTGTCCATCATAAACATCATCAAGAGGGGCCTGCAGAGGATGGTCCTCTTTCTGAGATATTGAGGGCAAGTCAACATCAGCGTTTTGTCCTTTCCACACATCTGAATTGGTGACCCATCCTCGACCATTCACTGGATGCCTATTCTGGTCCCATTCAGGACCCCCAAGCATGTGCCCTTCTTCCCTATAAATAACATTGTGACCATCCCAACCATGAAAATGGGCAGGAGAAGAGCCATCCATCATATTTTGCCAGCACATTGGACGCATATGATTGTTAAACCTTTCGGAATCAGGTATATGATATGGAATCCCAGAGTGATTAACATCCATTGAGGGTCTCACATTAAACAGAGATGGGGAAGGAAACTGTGGCATCATTTGAAAACCACCATGGGGTGGCCCAGGTTGGAATGGGATGAAACCATTTGGAACGGGTGGTGGCCAGTTTGGGGCACCCCTCCAAGCATTTGCATGGCCTCTCCTAACATTCAGATCACCCCGCTTGTAACGGCCACTATTATTAAATCTAATATCTTCTTCTAGAGAACTCATGAAAGGACTGCCAACTCCAGATCTTAAACCAGGTGGCTGAGAATTCAAAGATGAGTTGCCCTGACCAGCTCTATTATAAAACGCAGAATCTGATTGAGAGGATCCATCCAAAAGAGGCTTCTCAGGAGGTAAGTCTCGAGTAAGTCTATTATCCTCTTCTCTGCCACCAACGGAGGCACTGCTCCATCCTGTCTCCTCTATATCAAGACCCCGCCTAACACCACTTCTACTCGTATATCTACACTCAAGACTTGTTGAAGGGGATTTTTCCATCATACTCATTGGGGAAGCTTTTAAACTTGAGGACCTCTCGAACTCCCCAGAATAGCCCTCTTCCACCCTACTTGATTTCTCTGTGGATCTGTACTTAGCACCCCTCTCAGATGTTTCAGAAAAACTAGTTACCTCTCTTGTTGAAGCTGCTTTGGACCTCTGCTCTGTCATCAGATCTCTACAACTCAAATCGTCTTGTTTCAAATGCCTGTAAAAGATAATAATTATATTATACTCAGACAATGAGAAAAATACAATCAGTTTAACTTGTCAAACAATAATCAGAATCAATCATACTGAAGAGGGTGTGATAAAGAAACAAAGTACCTATAATCATCAGTCCCACCATGGGAACTTGGGCTGGGAGAAGCCCTCCTTCTGTAACTACCCATTACTGCATCTAAATTGGCTGGGCGTAACAGAGACCTTCCCCTATCAGCATCTACCTCAACTCTACCAGAAGTCGATTTATTTCTATGTCAGAATAGTGTATTTTGCACCTCTAGACTTTGTATCATTACCAGCATCTCGATCATCAGGAGATCGCTTCCTTCCCTTACTATCTTTGCATCTAGCACTCCTCCGTTCATCATGTAACTCATCACGGTCCCGATCTCTATCCTTGTCCCGATCACTATAACGGCGATCACGTTCACGTTCTCGATCAAGATCTCGGTCACGATCCCATTGATAATCATAATCACGATCGTGGTCATGATCTCGGCTTCGGTCACGTTCTCGATAATGGTCACGATCAAGATCACGATAACGTTCACGCTCTCGATCGCGATCCCGCTCCCGCTCCCGCTCCCTATAACGATCACGATCTCTATCACGGTCACGGTCTTTATCATGGTCACGATCATGCTCAAAGTCACTATCATGAGCCTTGGACTTCTTCTGCCGAACTTTCACATCATCTTTTCCATCCCTTAAAAGCTTCTCACTAGACTTACAATTAGCTTGATCAATTGCTGGTCGATCATCTTTCAATTTATCATCTTGCCACTTGTCTTCATGGTCCATTTCTTCTTGATACTTGTCCTTGTATCTTTCATCCTTATGTTTCTCATCTTTTGCTCTGCCGTCTTTGCCAGTATAATTGTTCATAGACAACTGCTTGTCCAAGTTATCTCCATTATCTTCCAGACACTTATCCCCGTCACCAGAAGCATCTCTCCTTTTCCTAAGTCGTCTCTCAAGCTGGCTCTCTGATTCAGGACTTTGCAACCGATCTGGTACATCCAAATCTATAAAGAACTTAAGATGTTACCAAAAATATTTAAGAGCCTATTTATAAGGGGGGGGGGGGAACACCTCAGAAGTTAAATTTGATTTCAACATATACTACAAAAATCTCCTCTGACAATCCTGATTTGGTAATGGCCAAACATACTCATTTGTTTCAAGCAGAAGACAAGAGCCTATAGGAAGCGCACGAAATAATATACCTATCTGAGCAATGACATATAACACAAGATGTAAAGCAATCCAAAGCAAAATAGGAAATCTAAAAACAAAATAGAGAACATAAAGAACTTGTTCCTAATATTAGATTTCTAAAAGCATACAAGTAAAATTATCTATTCTCCCAAAGCTAATGATAACTTCAAACCTGTGTAAAATCAGAAATAAGATGAGTATCAAAATCTCGATGCATCTTGACATAGCACTAATATATTTGTGCCAAACAGCTCAACCATTTTATATTAGGCCTTAACTAAAGACCAGCTCATAGCACTGAATAAAACAGAATTTGGGAAACTGATGTCGTATACTTAGAAAAGCAATATGAAAGCACTTCTAAGTGTACACAAAGTGTGGCAACTTCAAGCTTAACCCAGCAGATTCTCCTCTAAATTTACATAAAATTTATATCCGTATCCAAAACAGGGATCCATGCATGGGAAAGTACTTTTCAAACAACACTTTGAAGCTAATAGAAAATTACATATTGGAGACAACTGAAATTTTCAAATTTTGATTCCTTTCAAACCAATACCTAGAAAAAGGAAACCAGCCAAAAGGAACATTAACTGGAGAAGGCTAACCACAATTTCAAGTCAACATTGAGGTTAAAAAATTGGAAGAAAAAAAAAGCAACCTAATCCAGGTCCATTTATCATTGCTATAGGAACTCAGACGCAGGGTGCATCACAATGAAGAAAGAGTAATACACCAAGTTTTAACGTCAGATATTAGTTGCTTTATAACTGTGCAAAGAAGGCCATAAAACAATACAAAATACACACCTTTCCAATACCATAAAAGCTAATCGGTAGAAACTATATTCTCCCTTTAATTTCAACTATATCACCTACTCTATAAATTCCTCGACCCTGCCTCTCATCCTGCAAGAACATCTACTTTTCCTCTATGTTTCTTGCAGCAAATAGGACTTCTTAAATCAGATAACTGATGGAACTTAAATTATTTGGTTTTGAATTTTAACTTCCTCAATCAACTTAAAATGTTTTCTGAGAGACTAAATATATTACATACACACTTAAACGTGGATGTATTTATGAGACATAAATTAAGACTGACTAATCATTAATTACAAATGCAAAAGGTTCTGAATATCCTTTAGTACAGTATAGATAGCATCCCTACTCGATAAAGTTATATAACAAGTTACAAAGGTTCTGCAGTTCATAAATATCGCCCTTATTCAATGTAGAACGTGTTAACTCCTAAAACCAAATAAAACTAGTAAACAAAATTGGGGAAAATAATATAACAATCAATCTTAACACACACTACCTAACAACAACAAAAGAGCGCCAAAATAGTTAGAAATGCACCATTGCACATGCTAAACTGACACTAAACAACCAACAGATAGTAAGTTATCTTACCAGTTTTTTCAGTGGATTGCTTCACAGGGTGGTGTTCATCTTCCCCAATCGACCTATCACTCTTTCCTTCTTTACTTTTCTTTTCTCTTTCCCTTTCCTCCTTTCTACTCGATTCTCTATATTTCCCCTCACTTCTAATCCTGTTTGCATCCTCTCCTTCGGCATCCTCTCGTTTCTTACTCTTGGATTCACTTGAAACCCTAGACTTCTTCTCTCCTTTACCGTCGTCTTCACCGCCATTCCACCTGTCGATTGCTCCATCATCCACTTTTTCTTTGCGGCGCTTTGAGGAACTGTACTCCTCCACATAATCTCCATTCCCCGAAACCCAAGTGTCCTTGGAGTCAAGCTTTCTCTTCTCACCGGATCCAGGCTTGCTCTCCTCCTTCGTCTTTTTTTCCTTCTCCTTTAAGCACGTACCTCTCTCCGAATCCGAGTAGTCCCTAACATCCCTAGAACTATGCTTGTTAGATTTATGCCTTGAACTTCGCGGCATCACCGGAGCACAACTAGGAGAACTCAAAATCAAAAAATCCTAACCGGAAAAATTAAAAACCCTCCAAATAAAAAAAAACGAAACACCAATCTCAAATCAACATTCAATATGAAAACCCTAAAATCGAATCTTTCACGATACTAAAATCGAATCTTTTACGATACTAACGTCGATTCTCGGGAAAAAAACGGACAAAAATGACGGTGGAAACCCTAGTTGAGCGGAAAAGAAATGAAGGCGGCGGTACCTCTCACGGCGAAGATTAGAGGTGAGTGGAGGCGGAAGGCGGTTAAGATAATGAGATCGATAAGGGGGAAATTACGAGGTTAGGGTGAAATAGGGATTTGAGTTTCAAGGAGGAAGATGGGGGCGTTTTGGGGATAAATGATAAAAGATTATGTGATTTTGAAGAAGAGAAGAAACGAGAGGGTGCGCCTTTCTGTTTTAATTGGCTTTGTTTTTCAAATATATATATAATTCAAGTTCATTAGACTTGAAGTAGACTTCAGATAATTTTGTCCATTTGACCGGATTAACCCTTGAGATTTATTCGTATTACTGTCTTGTCCTTGGTTTGGGAGAGCGGTAGGATGAGACCGGTTTGGTTTGATTGAATTCTATTACATTTTTTTTAACCGTTCGCAATTTAAATTGTTTTTATTCTTCATATTTCAAGTTGATTTTATATTTTATTTTTTAAATTTTATTTTGATAAAAAAATACTTTATTTTATATTTTTAAAGTTTTAAAGTTTTTTTGTCTGTAAAGAATTTAATTTTTCATGTAAAAATTAATTAATATTTTTATATTATCTTTTCATATTATTGTTATACTTACCTCAAAGAATTAAAATTAATTATAATTAAATAAATAAAAAATTCAATCCAAATATATTTTAAATCATAAATCACTCGAACAATACTATTAATTAAAAGAGTAGATTATACAAATAGTCTCCTGATTATAATATATTATTTATTGAGTCAATTTATAATTAAAAGTTTTAAAATGATCCTCCGACTATAGAGAATTATTTCGTTGAGTCTTTCGACTATTAAAAGTTATAAAATGATTACCTAATTCTTCATTATATTCCAAACTCGTCATTTTCCGTTAAAAAATTAACGGTCAACTGAATTTAACGTTAACATGTTGACTGGGATATGATAGTCGTGGGTGAAGTCACTCTACATCTAGATCGAAGCATATTTCAGGTGAAAAGTGTATTTTATCGAGTCTATCAGGTTGAAGGAAAACTTGACCTAACCCGACTTATGTCCATCCCTGCTATATTATAAAATATAGTATAATATAAAATATAATATAATATAATTTAAAATTTTGTTTTTTACGATATGTAAAGCTCAAATCCTAACAATTACGTAGATATTAATGATTATTCAGCTAAATGAATTAATTTACATTAATTTTGTCTTCATTCAAATTCTGATTTAATCTAATCAACGCAGAATAAATCAAAGAATGAGTTTGAAGTTAAGGATATATATGTGTATAGTATGAAATTAAACTGCAAAACAGCTTTGCTTTCAGCAATTTAAAGATGAAGAAATTGAGTAAATTTAAACAAATTGTATAGTTAGTTAGATGATAAACGAATAAAGTTTTGATGATCCTTCAAGTAGATTATTATGGAAGATTTGAAATATTATGTGGAGGATCCCGTTGAAATATTATACAAATATCCTCGTTCAGGTGAAATCGAACAATCTCATGCACGGTTCTTTGTTTCTTTAAGCCCAAGCAAATCCACGGCCCGGTCTTCAACGTGTTTTTGGAATGCCACTCTTTGGATTTAATTTGGACTGAATTGTAAATTGTCCTTTTGAGCCTGAACCCACATTCTATAGTCTACACGTCACAACATTTTAGCATCAAAACGTGGCGGCAGCATCACGTTCCAACACCACGCCGTGCTGGTGTTCCCAAGTCCCAACCAACACTTCCCTTTTAATTCCTTCCTTCTCAGAGGATATAACCGATTTAGGTCTCTCTTCGTTCCCGCACTTTACTTTCCGCTTCCTAAAGAGCTCAAAATGGCGAAAGCCGGCCTGAGCCGTCTGTTCTCGTCGCAATCGGAGCACTCTATCGTCAAACTCACTTCTAATAGTTTTAGATCGGAATCAGTGACTCGCTTCGTATGCTCCTCCGCCCACCAATTGAAACATGGAGAAAAGGCCGATGAAAAAGATCGAGAAGCCGTGAAAAGGAATCTTGAACTTAATAACAAAGAAGAAGAAGCTGATGGTGGAGATGAAGAAGATCACGTGAATAAAGAGACGGGGGAGGTGGGCCCCGGAGCCCACTCGGTACGGTGATTGGGAACGCAATGGTCGCTGCTACGACTTCTAATTTTTGTGTGTTTGGTTATTTGCTTTTCTGAATTTTTATATCATGAATGTAGAACTGAAGTTTATTTGGTGATTTTGATTTCCTCGGAAGAGAAAATAGAAGAAAAAAATTGTTGGAATAAGAATCAAATAATAGTTTGTCCAAAAAAATCAAATAATAGAATAGTTTGAAATTTTAGTGATGAAATATAAACGTTTTGAAGTTGAATGACTAAACCAAAATCATAATAAAACTGAGTGATGAAAAATGTTATTTATTTTAATTTTTATTGAATTAGATTATAATAAATTTAGACACAACTCCGTTATTTACCAATGACGAATCAAATAAAATGGGCTAAGATAGTTTAAAAAATAGGTAAATTATACTTAAACTATTATTTTTTTGTTTTGATATTTAAATTTTATTGTTTTTTATATTTAATTTTTTTAAATCATATCTAACATTTAGTTTAAATTTATTGTTATCATTAGAAAATTAAAAAAAATTGCGTTAGTAGTTCTATTAATTTTTTGACAATGGATATCAAATTAAAATTAAATATAATTTTAAAAAACAATAAAATTTAGTATAAAAACATAACAAAAAGATATAATTTATATATAAAAATTAAAAGGTAAATATCGCAGAATTTGGCAAAGTTGGAAGATACCTTCCAAATCGGTTTATTTCTTTACTTTTATTTTGCGTTTGGATGCCAAGAATCTTGTAACCCTCAACACAATCAACAACTAAAACCGAAACCATAAAAATCATTATGTTTAAAAGCTAAATATTGCAGAGAAGAAAGAGTCAACAGTTGAACTTTCCTTCATTTGAACCCCACGTTTTCTATGACCAAAGACCAGTCTCCATGATTCTATTTACAGTCAAACTTACGTTCAAAAACCCAAATCACTGTCCTTTTCTCATATAATTCCATATCTGTGACCACTCTCTTTATATACACAAGCATACGTATAATGTAACATTTGTATAGCATGAACTAATTGAGTAAGAAGAAACAAAGTCTGGGCGGTTTATTAATGGAGAATATGGGAGAATGGGAGCGAAGGAATATGATAAATGAGTTAACTCGGGGAAGAGAGCTAGCGAGGCAACTCCAGGCTCATCTCAATGCGCCTTCTTCTGATGATGTAACGAAAGAACTTCTAGTCCAAAAGATTGAAGCTTCTTATCAGAAGGCACTTTCAATGCTGAACTGCAATGTTAACACATCGCCGATAGTGACACAACAAGCACCGAGAGGAATGATCGTGACACAACAAGCACCGGGAGGAATGATCGGAATGTCGGAGTGTGGATATCCCTCGAGTGAAGACCCCGATCGACGTATTGGGGATCCGAAGCTCAAAGATGCCTCCAAGAAAAGGTATACATGTAGTGTTGATTTAAACTCGAAATTTTATTATCTTATCGTTAGATTGTTAATTTGTTGATTTTGATTTGATGCATATAAGAGATTTTTATGTTGCAGGAATAGTTCTCAACCAAGATGGATACAAAAAGTTCGAGTAGCGCCTGGGATGGCACTGGAGGGACCTCTTGATGATGGTTTCAGTTGGAGGAAGTATGGACAAAAAGATATTCTCGGCTCCAAACATCCGAGGTCTGTAAACTAAATTAAATCAATTGATCCGTCTAATTATACTATATTTAATGAAGTTACATTATATATATTGGGTAAACTACATATTTAGTACCTAAATTATTATTTTTATTTCATTTTAATACTTAAACTTTCATTTATTTCAATATCATACGTAACGTTTGCTTTTTATATCTGGACATAAAAATTTAGTGGACTGTTACAACATGACACTTTCTATAGATAAATTATATCATTCATCACTAAATATCTCTTTACTCCTATTTTGGTCACTAAAGTTTAACTTTGTTATTTTAATTAATTAACTTTTAAATACTCATAATTTAATCACTACAACTTTCAAATTTATTTTTTTATTTTAATTATATTATAATAATAATAATAATAAATTTCATGTCACAAAAATTATTAATAAAAAAAATTAGAGTGATTAAAATATGAGCAATTTGAAAGTTGAGTAGTTAAATTGAAATTTTTTAAACTTTATTGGACAAAATAAGAGTAAGAAGATAGTTAAGTGATGAATGATGTAATTTACCTATAAAAATAAGCATTGGGTATAAATTTAAAACAAATAAAAATTTAGGTACTAAAACGAAAAAACTGAGAATTTAATATTAAACTTATAGTTTATATACATATTTAACTATAGGTTCTTGATTACAGAGGTTATTACAGATGCACATATCAAGGCGTTCGAGGTTGTTCGGCAATAAAACAAGTACAAAGATCGGGGGATGACCCGACAATCTTTGAGATTACATACATCGGAGCCCACACTTGTACGAACGTAACTTCAAATCTAAATTCTCCCTCGGGACTCTCTGATGAAAATCAAGAACAAGGACCATTGCACCATAACCAGAAACAATCATCACACGATCTATTTCTTAGCTTCCAAAACGACCCCAAAGTTAAAACTCAAGGTCTAGAGAACATTCATCATCATCACCAAACATGGTATTCATTCCCTTCCACTTCGTCAACGTCCAACATTGTCTTTTCATCACCTTCTGTGGTGGACAATGATGGTGTCCGAAGCCATTCGCAGTCTAATACCGTATTGTCTGTAGCATCGAGGACTAACTTCAGTTTTCAAGCCCGTGATGATCAGACTCGGGTTACTGATAAGATTGTTCAAGCTGTTTCTACTTCGGCGACGAGCTTGCCCGCAGTTGGCTTGGATTTCCCATTCGGTAATTCCCAGTTCGATCAAAACTTCACATTTGACAACAATGGGTTCTTCCCCCAATGATCCTAAGATTTGTTGATGCCATGAAACTTCTGTTTCATTGCATGTACTCCGACAAATTTGGGTGGTATAACCAGACTCCCCCAGTTTTTTCTCTGCTTATATAACAAAGTGATCTAATCCATTTAATTATAATCAAATAGATCTTGAATGAAAAATCATTTTTCCCAGTGTTCTTACATTAGTAGTTTCTAATTTTTTTCCAGAGTATGTGGAACAAAAACTAGATCTTCAGATTCAAATCTATTATATCAACAAAAATTAAGAATAAAATCATGAATGAATTTTCTTCTCCAGCAGTTGATTGGAGTTTCTGGAAGCTGTCTACTTCTCTCTAGTTTCTTCTCTGTTTATTACTCGTATTTTGTCTTTTATTTATCTCTTTACCGGTTGAGCCTGTTCCCGGTAATATTCTAATTGCATGACAGCTCTTAATAATAATAAGAACATTCACAGTTAAAAAATATATATTACATAAATAATCAAAATATAAGATAAAAACTTAATTTTAAAAATGTTCATTTTCAAGATTTATTTTTTAAAATTAAATAGAAAGAGAACATGTACTTTTTCAAAATATATAATTACTAAAATAATTTATCTAACATATGATTGTATGAATAATATTAAATAAAGTAATTCAACATTGACCCAAATTACAGGTTCTAGAGTTACATAAATATGATTAGGGAGAATTGTCAACATTTTCAGATTTAGGACAGTTTCACGGTTCCAAATTTGCATTTATCCATTGTTGTTGAATCCTTCATGTTCACTTTAGGCTTCAAGTGACAGAACAAACATGCATGCATAGACCTTTCCTTTAAAAAACCAGAATATATGGAAAAAAATTAAAAAAGAAACATGGTGTTTCCCCTTACACACGACAAAGCTCGTTAGCCCATGGCGTACTTCTGGGTCCAGCTCCTTGCAGTTGTCTCGTACTTGTTCCTGTCCGTTTTGTACATGTGAGCAATCTCAGGCACCAATGGATCATCGGGGTTTGGGTCCGTCAGCAAAGAACAAATTGATAGCAACACCTACAACAACATATTAAAACGATGAAGCAAACAAATCGGATACTAAAATTAAAAGACCGGGTACCATTTTGGGTATTGGGTCGGATTCTATCACTTTTGCTTTGTTAAGATGGTCATCTCTCATCGGGCTTGGCATTGTGATTCATATTTTGGGAATGATCAGATTTGTTTCAAGGTTGGTGACCTTCTGATATGATTTGTTTTGGCCGCCACGGGTGGTGGCTCATTCCAGTTGGATCAATTTTTGCACCCTTAATGGCAAATATATGAGAGGAGTTCCGGAAAGGAGTATCTAGATATTTAGAGGAAACTCACCTTGGATATTGTCAGCGCAGGACTCCATTGTTCCTTCAAGATGTCTAGGCAAATGCTTCCATTGCTATTGATATTGGGATGGAATACCTTTGTTCTAAATGCCACCTGCAAAAGCCATTATCATATGGAAAAAATTAGAGAGGAGGCATTACATACTTTGCATCTCGTCTAGCTTTAATAATTTTGTGTCAAGCAACGTAAATTCTTACAGTCAGCCAAACAAAAGAAATCTACCCATGAAGAAGAACATTTATTTTCATTTTCATTTTCATATATTTTCAGCCATTTCGAGCTTTTGATAATAATAACCCAATTGATAGCATTCCAGTTTCATTTGAACCAGCGATTTAAAAGAAAGAAGCATTTCGAGTAAGGTGGTAATGAAGGCAAGCATCTCTCACTCTCCAAGGGCATACATCACACCATCAACAAGTAACACGCAAAAATTATCTACTAAAAGCACGATCCTTAATTTCTTGGAAGTTTGACAGAATGGAGATGCTAGAGGAGCGGGGGAGGGAAGGATATTTCAAATAATGTAACATCGAATCTGGACTATATAGGTAGCCGTCAACATAGAATAAAATTGACTGATATAGCATTCATGCACTTGCAAATGTCACAAGTAAATATCCTACCACTATGGTAAAGAAAAACCGCACATAAAAAGTACCTTGGGAGGCTTAAAGGGATAATCTGGAGGAAAATGGATGGTCACCAGGAAAACACCCCCAGCATAAGGACTGTCGGGTGGACCCATGATTGTTGCCTGCCAGTGAAACATGTCTTCGGCAACAGGGCCTGCAACATTGTCCAATTAACCATTAGCAATATGCAGGTAATGTAGGTCAGTGATACTCGTTGGGCACTTGTACATGCACAACCAGCAGAAGAAAAACATGAGTGAAAACATTAGAAAAAAATGTAGATATTTTATGAAATATTGATATCCTTTTAACTTATAGAGAAGCTAGAGAATATCAATCAACTTGACAATCAAGGTTTCCCTAGGAAGGGTAGGCCCAATCAACTAGACAACAAACCCAGGTTAGGCAAACCACTCCAACTTGATGTTGCATAACACGTTATCAACTATGGTCATAAACTATATAACAGAAAGGGGTTATAACAAATAAACTATATAACAGAAAGGGGTTACAACAAATTAAGAATCTGCTTCCTAATTCACCCTATCACAACTGTGTTTGAGCATCAGCTGGCATAATAATGACTATCGAAGGTTTTATTTTACTGCCTCCTGTTATAAGCCGAGAAGGCAAACGATAACATCCATCACATGAAAATTAACAAATACGTATTCTTCCCATTCTATTAATCTGTCTTTGGAGTCATAATAAACAAATCAAAACTCTTCAACTGATGATGCCATCACATGATGAAAGTGCAGACATTATCACCATGTCATAAGTGTATAAAATATGTCAAATACCTTTGTCAACATCTACTTAAAACATGATAAGACAAAATACACATATACAGGTGTCTCACAGAACCTATATAGTTTCGACACGTTATATAATATGTGATCGAATATGAAAATTAAGGACTACTTCCGGTTCGACACAAATTTAATTTATAAAACGTTTCAATTGAACACACTGAAACAGTCATTTTTATCTAGATATTGATAGGATTTTAATTTTTGCAAAATCAACACGTTTATGATGCAAAACAGTAAACGAAAATTGCAATCGTTTATGAATAATCGCAAACAAATGTTACAATCGTTTCAGCAACCTTTCAATAAGAAAATCAATGATAAATTCATCAACAATTTTTTTAATCCTCAATTAAATCCGAAACATATATACCGATAAAATCTATCGTCTCGCAGTAATATAACCATAAAATTCATCAATAATTGAAAAAATGTTAGTAACAACAGCGAAATGGTTATACCAGCGCTGCAAGATGTAGGAGGATCCTTCTGTAAATCCTTCAATTCCTTCAAGATCCGCTTTGATGCCATCGCGAACCCTACGACCCATAGTGCATAGATAAAAAAATATAAAAAACGCAACAAAAAAAGAACAATTAAAAGCGAGAAATCCTAGAGATCGAACCTGAAAAGATGATCCTCCTTTAGAGGGGGGCGGCGGTTGAATGCCTGAATGAACTTTGGGTGGATAAGAGAGAAAAGGTTTTAGATTGAAGGGAAATGAAGAAATGTGCGAGCAAAATATAGGCGAATTTATGATCGACTGTGGTGGCGGTATTTTATAAATGGGTGGGCCGGTCCTTTTGAGCGTTGCTGATTGGGTTATTCTCTTGTGGGTCCCATTGTTGGCGTTCTTCTTACGGGGAGTATTTCATTATAATTCTTCTACTATTATATTTATGCACTTATCCAACTATATAAATAAATAAAAAAAGGATATAAATAACCAATATATTATAATGAAATAAATTTAGTTATATCTGATATAACTTAAGTAAACTATAACAGTTCTATTGAAGGACAATAGAAGTTAAAAAAATCGAGCGATTTCAATTTAAATCTGATATAATTTAAATAAAGTATAGCAATTCTCTTTAAAATCTTTTTAATACAATAAAAAAATATAAAGACAATATGTAATGGAGTGAGAATCACATTGATGATTGGGTTTTCTTTAATGCTGTAAGAGATGATGAATATGATAATTAGTTTGTGGTTAAATGTAGTATCTCGAACAATTAGAAAGAAATAGAAGAATGAATTCCTATTTTATCATGGGAATACTCGTTGCAATTGCTAAATAGAAGGTGATGTCTTTGCATGGTTTTCAGAATCGGACCGATTAGCGAACCGGTCATGTTATAGGTTTATTGGTTCAACCGGTCGAATCGGTTCAATCGGTCGAAAAAATCGGACGACGTCTTAATTATTTAAAAAATTAAATAAAAATACCAAAAATATTTAATAAAAAATAATTTTTATATCACAAGTCATATTCAAAGCAAGTCATAACATATATAAGTTAAAAACCATAAAATCAAGTGAAACAAAATGATTTAAATTAACTACAACATTTAAGGTAAAACATATTAAATAATAAATATAATTATATAACTATAATTAAAAAATAAATTTGGGGTTAAAAAAGCATAACAAAATGATATTGTTTGGTTTAATTTTTTTTTAAACAATCTCACATGGCTAAGAAACATAGAAGAGCATCCCAAAAGTCTAAAGAGTAAAAATATGTGAACAAAACAATCTCACATTGCTAAGAAACATAGAAGCGCATCACAACTAACTTCTATAAATAATAGATGTAATTTGACATTCAAAATCATGGAGTCTTTTGGTGAGCATTGAGTGAACTATTCTTTCACTTCAATCAAGCTCGAATTTTAGGCTTCAATCGAGCTTCTAAATTTTTTTGAGTTCAAGCCTTTTTGAGTTCAAGTTTTAGTATTATATTTCGAGTTTGAGTTGAACTTGATAATTTTTAGCTTGTGAGTTTGAGTTGAGTTGAACTTACTTTTAAAGTTTTCAAGTTCGAGTCGAGCTCAACAATACTCGAGTTCGACTTAGCTCGTTTAACAAACGACGTTGTTTGATTTAATTTTTTTTAATAAAAAAATAAAAATCTCGTTTTTTTCGATTTTTTTCGGTTTTCAGCCGGTCCGATTCAAACAGTTCAACGGTTCTGGCCGGTTCACTAATAACGGTTCAATCGGTTTAGATTGAACCGGACTAAACAATGATTTTCGGTTGAACCGATTGAACCGACCGATCCGATCCGGTTTTCAAAACATAGTATCTTTGACAATAATAACGTTTGACATGATGTATTCGAAGGTAGTTGATGGATAACAAATTCCATGTAGTAAAAAGCAAAGATTAAGGCGTAGTATATTAAAATTGATAAACCATGTCAACATATTTTAGTAGAACTACCATTCAATAATAGCTTTCGTTAGTCAAAATATTATATTGTTTTTTTTCTGAATTTAAGAATCACGATAGGTGTAAAAAAAATTAAGGACCATATTAGTTTTTTTTTTAAATTAAGAGACTCATATATCATTAAACCTTGAATATTTGATAATTTATTTCCGAGACTACGTTGGCGCGTACTTAACAATCAGATCCTCAGAGAAGAAAAAGCTTCGCAAATGAGACATTCTCCGTTTTCCTAATAATTTCCTCCTCTATTGCATAATTCTTTCATCCTCTCCGATCCGATTAGAGTCGCAATGGATTATGATTTTAGGAACAGAACAGGTCCACCGTACGATGCGCAGATCCCGATGTACCGGCAACAATCCATTTCATCGTCATCTACCCATCCGATGTACGGACCTCCATTATACCCAAGAGTCGGTGCTCATCCCACCGCTCACGGCGTTGTCCCTCCCACAACCCGCGTCTCCTCCTTCCACCATACTTCTGCTCCTTCCACTTCCAGTAAGCTATCTCCCTATAAAAAATATATTTTTTGCTATTTTTTCATATTTTTTTCTTTCTAAATTTGCTTTCCCCCCTAATTTTGTTTCATGGCAGCGGGATTGGGCATTAGGGTTGCTTTGAAACCAGAATATCGTATTACTCCTCCGGTAAGCTTTCAGTCGCTTGCATTTGGGGTTTTAATTAGATGAATAAGTTAATCCTATTAATCAATTTGTCATTTTGTTGCAGCCTCAATTGTCTCCTCAAGTTGCGGATATCCCTCGCAGAAAATTTCCAGTTTGATTTCGAGTTTGAGAGGAAAATCCTGGCTGAGGCAGACAAAGAAAACATGAATTGGAGCAAGCTTGGCTTGGAAAACTTTGCTCCAAAGTCGACCGAAACAACTTCATCAATGGTACGCTGTTATTCTTCCATCTACAGATTTAGACCTTTTATATCTTCCGTTAACATTTTAATTGGTCTGTTCAATAGTTTGTCTTAACGCTGTTGTTTTAATGGAATTAGTTTATATTTGTTTAGCTTTAAGGGTTTATCTTAGAAGAAAAAGAACAATGATTTGAACGTGCAGGGTGCAAATTCAGACCCTGTGGTGAGCAAATACATTGCCTCCACACTTAATCGAGAAGCGGTGACTGTTGCCATTGCAAACTATGGTGACAATCCAACCAAGGTATGTTGGCATATGTCATTGCATCAAAGTATTATTAAAACTTAGCGAGTTCACTTATTATCAGAACCTAGTGTATGGCTTAATTGTAGTAATGGCATAAAACTTGGGTCTATTATAAAGTATTCCAAGATTATATGAATTGTGATGTATGTTAGATTTGATTTCTCCCAAATCTTCAGTATAACTAGTTATGTTCAATTGGTCATGCACCTGCTTTATGCTGAAGATTGGGATAAATATTCACCTTGAACGATTAGAATCTTGTGTACCCCATTTTCTTCACTGGCAGAGAGTAATTTAGGTTTAATGGCATGCTCAGCTTCTTTTCGGCTACTCTGTTTTCTTTTTATTTTGGCACCATAGCGTTCTAGGAGGAATCACTGTTTTTGTGGCCCATGACTTAGCCACTTAGGTTCCTTCATGTTGTGGAAGCACAAAATAAGGATCCTTGTAATGAGGTTGAAACTTGTTCAATTCCTTTAGCTTGAGTAGTTTCATCAATTATTCTTATTATGCAGCTGCCTTTTTCAAAATTTCATCACAGAATGTCATTTTTTGCCATATATTTATGTTGTTTATTTGCATCCATAGGTTCGGGAATTTGTCACCGGCTACAACCTACTGTGAGAAATGGGATTCTCGTCGAACAATGTGGCGGAAGCCTGACTCATGTATGACAATGACACAGACAAGGCATTGGCACATTTCCTTAACAGCTCGTCATGAGTATGATATGGTAAACTAAATAGTTTCTATGCCAATGAAAACTAGAATGGTTTTACACCATTAATTTCCATGTGTTTTGCCGCTTTAAACAGATTGTACAAATAGTCATTCTATAATATTTGATGTCTCTGATAAAAGATACCTCTTTGGTGTTAAATGTATGGGTGTCGTGTATTGTTCCCTAAATCATTGTTCTGGAGAATACATTTATATATTGTTTATACTATACTATAACTTGGACTTGGTCATTCACTTCATTGTATGTTCTGCAATATTCGAACATGAATAATTCGAATATATGAATACGATCTTCCTATCATTGCATCCAGAACTCATCCCGAGCCTTGCTAGCATATATTTACTTATATATTAAACCAAATGATATATACTCTAGAATAAATCATGTCTAAGATGTTTCTCATATAAAAGAGTAAACTTATACAAGTCTAAAGAACTAACAAATAGAAAAATGAATCATGTAAGGCTCTTAAAGCTACTATGATTTTAACTCAATGGTATAATAACCTTCACTGTGTCATTTTCAAACTCTATTCTCAACGGTTCATCAGATGGGCAGTCAAAACAACTACTGTGCAAGCAAGAAGCCCTCTAATCAAGCTCTAAGGAGCACTTTTTCATCAAATTAATGGGAGCAGATTGTGGTTATTTGTAAATACAATACATCCTATCCCATAGCATCAGCCTCGTATTTGCTTTCCGGTGTCTGTAAATAAACTCAAACTCCATAACAAATAACTCCTGAAACCAAATAAAAAAAACATGCATGTTAGTTACCTCAAGAAAGAGCCAACTTGATCGATCCTATATAACTTGAATTCTAGTGAGAGCTTTGGATACGAGTATGTCCAGCACAGGTATGTTAATCCCCCCCACCCCTCTCAAGTTTTCCCATACATTAGGAGGGTTCTTGGAGGGTTATATTCCTGGACTTGTGTCGGATACGACTACTTTGTGAGAAAAAAAAATGTTGGATACTACTTCCAGAAAAAAGAAGAGACGAAGAGTCCACAGGATCTGTCTAGAAGAACATTCCCATTTTGGCATGTCTACCTATACCTGAAACTGTCTCACGAGTAATAATTCTTCTATATTTGTTCTCTATGTTACGGTGACTTGAGTGTGTGAGTGTCGGACATGAATACAAGTCTAATGCAAGTATAAAGTTTTTTCATGAATTGAAGATTATCGGAAGATCATATCTACAGTTCCCATGTTCAAATAAGGGTCGGAAAAAGGGTTAGAGCAACTCTAGTTTTAAAAGGCACAAAAAAGCCTCTGGAGCACGCCTAGGTGCGGACGAAGGTGCGCATTTTTATACTAAAAATCTATAAATTAATTATACAACATATTTTTAATAATATAAATAAAATTTAATAAATATAGATAATTTTTTAATAATATAAATTAAAATAAATCATTTTCAAAGAATGGCAGATTGAGAAAATAATTTGATATCATGTATTAATTTTTTTTTTTTTGAAAAAGGAAAAGCCACTCTAGTATTTATTGAACTTTAAAAAGAAACAATTACATGTTGTCCATGTGCAATTAGGTCTGTAAACGAACCGAACACACACGAAATGAGGTATGTTCATGTTCGTTCATTTAATAAATAAAGGAACATAAACGAACACGAACATAAACGAACAATTTTTTTTTGTTCATCTTCGTTCATTAAGGAATATAGCTTGTTCATATTTGTTCATTTAATAAATAAACGAACACGAACGAACGAACATAAACGAACACAATAAACGAACATAAACGAACACAATAAACGAACATAAACGAACAACACAAACACAAAAAAAACTTATTTGAACACAACAAACGAATGTAAAAAAAAAAGTAAACAACAAGAATAACAACTTAAAATTCATTAATATAACCTGCAATTTTAGAGTTAATTTGTTCGAATACGACAAAAACATACATAAATCATAAATAAGTTATATGAACGTAATAAAGTCTTAAAGTTAATTTGTTCAACAAAACAATCTTCTTGAAATCCAAACAACTTCAATAATCTTCGTAACATATTCAATTTGCCCTCTGTTCGAACATAAATAAACGAACATAAATGAACAAACATATAATCGAACGTTCACGAACGTAAATGAACGAACGTGCCCTTTGTTTATGTTCGTTCGTTTAATTAAACGAACGCAAAATCTTGTTCATGTTCGTTCATTTAATAAATAAACGCACGTAAACGAACTTCCCGCCGCACAGTTCATGAACAGTTCGCTGAACGTTCAATTCATTTACATGCCATCTGCAATGCACTAACGGGCAGCAATCAAAGCTTCATTAAAGAGTTTAGGGAACCAAAGCAAAAAGAAAGAAATAACCCCAAAACAGCCCAATAAATAAGCGATGGAGAAGAGAGACGTGGTAACCTTTCCCTGCTCAAAAACTAAAGGTTTTTATTAGAGAAGTTTTGAACAGAAATGAAGAAGCAGAGAAGAGATGCAGAAGAGAGACGTGGTAAGTTTTCTATTAATTTCTCTCCCCCCACATAGGCGCAAGCCAAAAGCGGGGAACCGTTCTGCGCTGCGCCTGTGCCGTCGAAAGAGATTTTTCTGGCGCCCAGCTGCGCCCGGCGCCTTAGGCGCGCGCTTGAAAACTAAGAGCATCATAGCTTCTTCTTGCAGTAAATTACCAATATGCATAACATCAAATGTGTGCACGTGCAAGAGAGACAGAGAGAGATAGAGAGACCTGTGAACCAAGATGAGCAGCAAAACTTCCCTTCATCTACATGTTTGACATCAAGCCCTAAAAACCACGATCCAGCGCTGACATCATCATGAGCATATGTGCGCAGAAGATTTCTGCAGTAAAAAATTAGGATCAACATGCTTTATTATGGCATAAGCTCCATGAAATTGTGCAGCAAAGAGAAGTGCCCGACCTGTTTATCGAAATAAATTTAGCCAAAGCGCCTGATATAACATACATTTCACCTGAAGCATGGCGGAAATATCTGTAGAACGCCAGAAAAAAAAAGATTAAGGAAAAAGAACTCCATACGAGGAGATTAAATATCAGAAGTAAATAACAGGTACAAGAAACATATTCAAATTTCCGTCCATAAGTAAGAGAGCTTAACATTTGAAACGCATTTCATTAACTGAAGGTTTCAAAACTTAAATTCAGGAAAGAATAAGTGCTTTTACAACTAATCCGATAACAGGGATCTTGATAGCGTAGGCAGATAAATTATATTAACAGATATTGGGCTAGAAGATGAAACCAGTGGCAGCAAAACTTACGATTTTTTATCACCAAACTTCCACCAATCCGGTTCATACCATTTATGGCTCCTGCCAATATTTGCAAGCATGAGAAGAGATAGAGGCTATTCAATTATATACCGAACTCATATATCCTATTGTAGACTCTATATCTAGGCCAAACTCACGGTTCTGAAAAAACTTCGCCTGATTTCATACAGCCAATATAAACTCGAGGTTTATCTAGATGTGATGTAAGTGTAGCTCCCAAGGCATCTGGAAAACATGAAGTTGTTGATGGTGTTAAGACGAGTACTGATCAAATGTTTTATCAATAATGAAACAGGTCTTGTAATGGAACTTGTTTATCTTTCACTATGATAGAATAGAACAAAATCAGGATACTACAGAGAATGCAGGTAATGAATTCGACAGATTTTCATGCAGTGAGCCCCGGTTAACATTATTCAACATCCGCAATCAACATATTTAAAAGATCAATCTATGATATGTTGAAATTATGGTATTGTCACTTAAGTCAGTTTATGATATTAGAAATGGTTTTCAACTGCATAGGATCATCCCAGAGAATCATCACTGTGAATTCGACCTCACAAAGATATAGCCAAGGTTGTTCTTGAAATCGAGAAACAAAGTAAAGCAACTTGATATAAAACAAAGTGCTCAACTTTGAGAAGTTGAGAATTCTGCATACGATTCTTTCAACTTCACATTGATGCACAAGGTAGGGATCAAGAAAGATCATAGGTTTGCATAGATTGCAATACTAACCGATATTTACATAAACATCGTCGCTGACTTTTGCATAAAAATCAGCATCCCATCTATCTGCAGCAAGAGCAAAAAACATTTTGGCCTTCTTTGGAAGCTCCCCAGGTGCTTCCACTTGGTCCTGTTAAAGAAGTATATAGAAATGATCATACAATTGCATCGATATCTAACTTTATGAAACAAAGCAACTTAAGAGCTTTCAACTGACTCGTAAAAGAAGAAGAAAAATTTGCATTACGTGTGTACCGTTGACTTACAAGAATCATAAAGTCATTTGTTTGCCTATTTTCATCATCAACGTTCCTGTCCAAATTGTCCCCTCGGTCCGCGCTGTAAAACTATGCAACTTAAGAATGATTCTAGCTTACCATCTTCATAATTTTGCAAGACCCCTACGAACAAAAATGAAAAATTGGTAGAGATGATTATACCTTCTTCCAATGACAAATCGTGAAACTATGCCCTTTTCTTTTCCATTTTCTCCAAAGTTGCACCTGGAGAATCAAACATTCAGGTTTTGTTCCCCAATGGACGAAAAACATATCATCATTCACAAATCGATCTCACTCTCTCTCAGTACAAATGCAGAATGCAGCAAACGCATTTCACTAGTTGGATGTACATAAATTGCTGGTCGAAGATGCATATATCGAACTAGTCCCCTATTACTTGAGACTAATAGCTATAGATGGGACCAATTAAACAAGCATTTGAGCAGAAAACAAAAATGATCTCCATTGCCCTCTTTTCCTATTAAAATTCAAAGAAAATAAATCCACTTAAGCAAACAGAATTTGACAGAACAGGGAGTACAATAACAAATGGGGGAAAGTCAAGTGTTCATACCGCTTCCCATCCACGCCTTACGTATAGCATCTCTATTGTTCTTACGGCCAAATCCTGTTGGAACTCCTATTACTACAAGTGGTATTCTCTTTGAAACAGCTCCATTAGTATCCGAAGATCGCTTCGAAGTAAACCCTCTCGGCTAGCTGCAGCGAGATCCATCTTAAGGGTCGATAATTTCTTGTGTTGTTCCCTAATAGAAAGGGGATCCTTGATAAAAACACTAACGTTGCAATAGAAATTGTACTAGTCATAATAATAATAATAATCCACCTTACCTGCAGGCAATGATTTTCAAAGTATCATCTACTGATATAGCAGATTTGCCCTAAAATGAAAGGTCGGTAATTCATTAACAGTAAGAAACAAAGCAAAAATTGATAAATGAAACCCAAAAAAACAGCTAAATTCCAAAATCAAATGATAAAAAAACACTAAACACCAAGTTAAATGCTAATAAATTCTCACCAGCCCTGTCACTCTATCAAGCTCTTTTATCAAATAAACCCTGGTTTGTGCATCCTGCCATAATCTAATTTCCACCAAAAAAGAAGGGAACTTTGATATCAATAAATGAAAAAGAAGGAAGGATCTTTAATCAGTAAAATGAAATTTACATTACAATTAAAAAGGAGGGTCTGGTAGTAATTATTAACTGACCTGCCAGCAACGTAAAAAGATGCAAAAATTGCAAACATGGAGATCAACAACGACGAGATTCGTGTTCGAAACACCATATTTGAGACTTTGCTATTGGATCCCTTACTCTGCATCATCTTCGAAGGCAGAAAAAAAAAACTCAGATTCAGTGATGTAAACGAGAATTGAGAAGTAGATCCAAGTCGAAGTAGGCAAATATTGGGTTGTTTTTCAAAGATTTATCAGATGTGAATTTCGCACCGTATTTCAGGAATTGACCAACAGATGACCAGACTGTCAGTGTCAAAAGCAATTCTCCGATTTTGTCGGTCTTGTCTTGTCTTTCGGGTTTGGGGTTTTCAGTGCAACCAAACTTTCAGGCCTTTTTTTTCTCGTTTTTTTATTTATGTTGTGAAGGCTCAGGCCTTTTTTTCGAAAAATCATCGATAATTGATATATTTTTTGATCTAATATCGATCAAATTATATTTTTTGATCTAATACTTTTTGTAGTAAGGTCCATAGGCGCGTCTTGTCAAATTTGTAAAAAAAATCGAGTATTGGTTTTGTAAATATTTTAAAACTGGTGTCTAATATGCAATTAATTTCTGTTAGGTTGATATTTGTGTAAAAACGCCAATTTTATCTATTAATTTTTTTGTGATATTATTTTTAATCACGATTAATAATGTTTATTGATTTTTAAAATTAATTGTTTAAAAATATTAAAATATTAAAATAAACTTTTAATTACAATTAAGAGATCAAATGAATTATTATTCATTTTTTTAAATAAATAAAAATACAATAAAAAAATTAAAAATAAATAAAATTCAATAAAAATATAATGTAAAGCTAAAAAATATCACCTCTTTATTTAAAATATTATTTCTAATATTAATTTTAAAAATATAAAATAAATATTAAATTTTAATTTTATTAAAAATAAATAAACATTATTAACTGTTATTAAAAAATAATAATTAATAAATAATAATTCATTTGATCTCTCAGTTGTAATTAAAAGTTTATTTTAATATTTTTTATATTTTTAAATAATTAATTTTAAAATACTCTATTCTCAAGACCTAAAGTCAAGTTTATGATTGTTAAACAGTCGTAGGTGTGGAAAGCTACATGGATCGAATGAAAATTCGATCGTACAAAGTCAATTACTCAAAATTGTCTAACTGCTGTCTAAATATCAACTCAATTGTACCACGAATAAACATTCGATCAAAGAGTTGATCTTTTCTGCTCAATCTTCACAAAAAACTATTTTATCTCATCATTTTCTCCCGCGTATGAACTCCTTTTTTTTTATAACATTCATGCAAAAGAATATATGTATTGTGTAATTTCATGCAAAAATCGAAATATGTCGAGTTATAAAATAATTTGCAAAAGAATATATAAAAGTATTTTAAAATATGAATAATTTTATAAAATTTAATATTTATTTTATATTTTTTAAAATTAATATTATAAAGAATATTTTAAATAAAGATGTGATATTTTTTAGCTTTACATTATATTTTTATTGAATTTTATTCATTTTTAAATCATTTTTATTTATTTTTTAAAAAAGGTGAATAATAATTCATTTGATCTCTTAATTGTAATTAAAGGTTTATTTTAATATTTTTAAAAATTTAATTTTAAAAGTCAATAAATATTATTAAATGTTGTTAAAAATAATATCAAAAAAATAAATAGATAAAGTTGGTGTTTTTACACAAATATCATTCTAACAGAAATTAATTACATATTATGCACCAGTTTAGTAATATTTACAAAATTAACACCCATATTTTTATACATTTGACAAGGCGCATTACTGCAAAGGGTGTTAGATATGGAAATATAGTTTAATCGGTGTTAGATCGAGAAATATACCGGTCACCGGTGATTTTTCGAGAAAAACGCTGAAGGCTCAATATCCAAATAATTGCTCAAATTATACTTTTTTTATTTAAATAGGTGATTACAATATTTTTTTACTCATCTAGGTTTTTATAGTAAGGTGACCACTTTAGGTGCTTGAGACATAAAGATCGTTAGTTTTATTCGTTAAGTCGCATGTGTCACAATCTGATAATTTTGAAATTTATATTTTTTTTAAAATATTAAAAATATTATTATATTTATAAAAAAATTCTAATTTCTTTTAAATTACAAAAAAGCTTTAAAATCCCTAAAATCTCCAAATGCTAACACTACTTGCCGCCGCTGTCCTTTTCAGCCATGATCGCCGCCGCCGACGTAGTCTCTGCCATCGTCCTAGTTATATGTCGTCGTAGTTGTCGTCGATTGGTCGTTGGAATCGTATAGGATCGTGATTTTCATCCTAGGGTATGTGGGGTTTAAAACGTCGATTCGTCGTCGATTGGTCGTCAATCAGTCACGATTTCATAAGGGTTTTGGTCGTCGGTGAGAGGTGATGTCGGGTGAAGCTTCATCAATGGTAAAAGGCGACAGGCAACATGAGTTTAGGGGTTGAAATGAATGTTTTCAAAGTTTTGGGATTATTTCAAAATTTATGTTTTCTTTTTAAAAATATATAATTTATTTTTTAAATTTTATAAAAAAAGTTTTAAAATTATCAGATTATGACACATGTCACTTAACGTAGGAAATTGAAGCCGTTAATGGCTCAGGCACCTAAAGTTATAACGTTCGTAACGTTATGCACCTGGATGGGCCATAAAATACTATAGACACCTATTCGGGAAAAAGGGTATAGTTTAGGCACTTATTTGTGTATTAAGCCTATTCCGAAACTCAAGTCAATATATGGTTACTTTGATAATACCATATTAAATGTAACCCATCGTATATAGCTTAATTTATATGATTAGTGACGGTTATTCGTGATTTTTTTTGTAATTTAATTGAGTCTATAAAATTGAATGAAAAAATAATATTTAAATAAAACTCTTTACTAAAGAATATTTAGGGACGTTGTTTGTATCCAATTTAGCATAAAGTGCATTGATAGACATGACTTTGTAAATATTCAGCTGTCAGCTGTGTGTGGCTTAGGGTATTTCTCCTTGGGGATTATGAGCTTTGCTCTGTGCACTGTTCGTTTGTAAATACAAGAATGAGTTGACGGCGATGTGGATGAAAGGATCCAGTGCTTGCCAAATGATTCAATCACTGAAAGCACAATCGTTAGAACACACTAACAAAGGCTCAATAGTGTTTGCAGAGAGACCGGAGCTGATAGGACAAGAAAATTTTGTGACCACTGGCATTCGATTTTATTATCAACTGAAAGGTTACAGTCCAGCTTTTATCTTCGGTTAAATCCCAATTCCATCCATGGAAACAGGCAAAATACAAGAGTAACAAACAAGAACGAGAGAACATCTCAATCTCTGAGTCTGAAACCTTGGTGCCTTCAGCTAACTGCCCGCAGCAACCTACTCCTTTATCTGCGGCTCTCCGGATGTGATTTTAGGGTCATCCTTCTTAGAAACAGCTTCTAACGTCTTGTAAAACTCCTCTGGAAGAGGACCGGGTCGGTGTAGTGGAACATGCTTGGGAACTGGAGCATCATTTTCGATAACCTCGCATTCATAGTCATCTGGAACACCCCAGGGATCCCACTCTGCAGCCCAACATGACAGAGAACAAACATTAGGACTAAGAAAAATGCAAAATATCATAAAATTTCTTGCAATTTACAAAATTGGAGGCGAGTAAAGCTCAAAGAACATCAAACAACCTACGAATACTACAGCACCAAAACTTTTACCCCAAAAAAAGCAACACAAGCAACAGGTAATAATGCAAAGGGACAAGCAAAGCAGCCAGAAAAACAGCATGTCGTAAAGTCTCATAATTAGAGCAACAGTAACCAAGTAATGGTTCATGTCTCAATACATCAAATTCTAAAGATTGAGGAAATCGGTGAACATGCAATTGGCTGCATAGATAAAAAATGGTCAATGCTAACTAATTTGGATATGTTAACCCTAAGAAATAGATGCATATTCGGCTCCCAAATAATTCTCAGCTGTTAAAAGCTTTTATGGATCCAGGTTTGATTAAAGAAAAACTGGAACAATCATTAAGGCAAAGAACACATCTAACACAAAGGCTGGCATCACGATAATATTGAGCTTCATCATCCTAAACTTTCCAACTTAACTAATACCTGATAACAGCACATACCTTAGAAGAAAAAAAACAATTCAAATAAGAATGGGAAAAAAAGAGAGATTAAATGGTCCGAACCGATCATTTTCCAGATAAGAGTGAGCTCGTCACGCGCTTCCTCAATTAGCTCCTCGACCTGGCCACATCCGAGGCGCTTCTCGATCGTTTCCCAATCTTCTTCCTCTTGACAGACCTTGAGACGGTGGCGCGTGAAGTTTTCAACGGTCGGGAACAGCCTGGATCTCCTTCAGGGTCTTCGTGTAGAGGCCGATAAGAACTTCCCTGGCGTTGGGTACCACGTCTAATCCGACGATCCCCGTTGTCTCCTTCACCTTCGCCAACAACGGCCGCGAGATCAATCGCAGGAACATTTTTAGTTTTTTCTTCTTCTTCTTTTCCCCCCTGATTCAGCGGGTCACTAATTCACTCCCCTTTCCTCAGATGCTATGCGCTGCTTTCAGTTGAGTTGAATGATGGTTAAATCGCGTAATAAATCTCAGCCGACTCTTTCTTGTGCGGGCCAAGCCCATAAATCGGATGGTTTCGCTCCCATCTAGGTGAATCACGAACAACCCAACATAGAGGAAGGTAGGCCAAATTGGCCCATTACGGCTCCTAGGTAAATTATTTAGCCCATTAGGGCACCTAAACTTTTAATTTGGGATCTACGACAATTGCAACAGTCCCCATGGAACTCGTCACGCCATGAGATATAATTTTTTAATAGAATGTGTCAGGTGGGCCCCACAGTCTAATTAAAAATAAATTTCAAGAGGGACTCGTCACACCGACGTGACGAATCAGAATAAAAAAAAAAAAAATTTGTAATTTTTAAAAGAAAATTTTAAAAAAAAATAATATTTTATGGACATAGAACTCGTCACACCGGCGTGACGAGTTCCAATGACTATAATTTTAACTTTTTTGACCGTTGGATTGACTGTTGTCCAACAGTAAGTTTAATTTGTTTTATTTCATTTTAGTTTTGACAAAATTATAGTATTAATCATAATTATTTTATGTAATTGTATTAAATAATTTATTTTCAAATTGTAGCAAGAAAAACGAACCATTCGTCATCGAGGAATGATGAATGAAGAGCCACATCAGCGAATGGTGATATATTTTTCACAATCAGGATTATATGGAACGACGTTTCTTCACGGATTTAAAGTGATAGTAGTACCGATACTGCTGAGGTAGTACCGCTAGTGTCAAAACAGAATGCTATAATGTTACCGATACCATATATGATATCGATACTACTTAGATTAGTAGTATCGATACTCTGAGTAATGGTACCGATACTACTCCTTTAATTTTGAGTCAGTGAAATTTCCATTGAAATTTAAAAAAAAAATTGAAAATTATAGCCGTTGGAACTCGTCACGCCGACGTGATGAGTTCCATGTCCATAAAATATTATTTTTTAAAATTTTCTTTTAAAAAAAGTTACAAAAAATATATATTTTATTGGGACTCGTCACGCCGGTGTGACGAGTCCCTCTTGAAATTTATTTTTTAATCAGGTTGTGGGACCCATATGACACGACCCATTAAAAAATTATATTTCATGGAACTCATCACACCAGCGTGATGAGTTCCACGGGGACTATTGCAATTGTCGTAGATCCCAAATTAAAAGTTTGAATACCCTAATAGGCTAAATAATTTAGCGGGACCCGTAATGGGCCAATTTGGCCAGGAAGGTAGCTCCGAAACCCAATAGCTCATATAATTTAAATTATATTCGATTCATACTCTATAATGATTTAAATGTATAATTTTTGTAATTTATCAATCATTATGAATGAATTTTTTGTATCTTACATGTCAGAGTGAACAAATAGTTGAATAAATTAGATTAAATCAATTAATTATAAGTATATATTTAATCAATGTCAAAAAATTATTTGTTCAATAAATTTGTTTAAAAATAGATTTATTTCTTTATTGAAACGAATGAATAAGTTAATAGTAGTGAAAATTATACACAATTTGTTGACTATTTCTAAATTGAAAATAGTGTATTTTAATTTATTCTATCACAAAATGAATTTATTTATATTTTTTCAATTCATAATATTTTCTTTAATTTTTTTTTCAATATAATATTTAAACGTTTTAACTTTTATAATATTTTTATAATAATACCAAATACTTTAAGTTGCCATATCATACTTTTTCTAAAACGATTTCTTAATAACATTTTTTTCCTATCTACACCGTTGTTCGAAATTACGACCTTTAAAAAATCAACATTCCCTTTTTATCATTGAAGTATTTAATGAGTTATAATAACACTTTTTTAATAGTCTCACGTGCAAGATAATATTTTTTATAATATTTCTTAATCATTGACAATACACACAAACTCTGCAATCGTATTTGTTCGAACTCAGGACCTAAAAAAATAATATTTCATTTAATCTTTAAATCCGCTCAAAGAATTCTTCTAATAACACTTTTAAATATAATGTTAATGAAACTCTCTCTTAATCTATTGATTTTATAAACAAATATTTTAATTCTTAAAACTATATTAAAAATCATACAAAATAAGTTTGACTGATATTGCGTATTTTAATAAGAAAATATTTGACCATAGAAGTGATCCAACTAGTAAATTGTCAAATTTCGTTTCGCCCTTGTGAATCCACAGGAAATAGAAGGGTATATTTACTTTTTATCTCATGGTAAAGTGATCCCAACATGATTTCACGGTCTGGAATTAAAACCCGTAATCAATATCGATTTACCATACGAGAAAGAAAATCAAAATACTTAGAACTGTTAACACATAACACCCACCCCGAAAATGGTGCAAATATAATATTTTGTCGAAATTAAAGGTAAAATATGCTTTCTCTTCCTTATTGTTTTGGGTTTTAGAAAGGATTAAATCATATTTAAATAACTATTTTGTTTATTAAATTTTAAAATTATAAAATAATTATTAAATTTATTATATTATTTTTAGGGTTTACTAAGTTATTATAAAATATCATTAAATTTTATTAAATTATTAATATAAAATATTCTTCAATAAGTAATAACCAAAACGATCCTAAGTTAGTGCCCCTAATATGCTTTACCATATTATTTATCTTGTCTAAGCATTAGTGATGCTAATTTAAGTTCAGCTCCTTCGAGCATTCTTAGTTTCCATGTACCAAAGCAAATGAATGAGAAAAACCAACTTTACAAAATAAAGGTTGAAATCTGCCTATCAGTCACGACCAGCCGCGGTTCCAGCGCTTGAGGCAGAGTTACCGGTAGCCCAACATGGAAAGTGACCACCAAAGGCTGACCAGTTGGGTCCTAATCCACTACCAATAGTACTACTGCCACCGCCAGCACCAGACACGAGTTCTCCCAACCCATTGAAAAGATCTTCATTAACATGCACGTTGGGGATCAAAATAACATCATTATCATCATCGTTCTCTGCGTCGGGAGACGTTTCAAGAGCCATGTTGTTAACGGTTTCACCTTCTTTAACTTCATTATCACCCGCGTTGTGCACGTTGACGGTGGTAGCGCCGTCTTCAGAATCTGAAACCGGTGTCGTTGGAGAGATGAAAAAGGAGGAGGAAACATTAGCTGCCTTTCGAATGGTCGATAGCCTGTTTCTTCGAGAACTGCCGGCGAGCGAGTTCCGGTAAGTGGGCCTAGAGTGAGTGTGGTCGCCCGTGTAGGTAACGATAAAGGTGTCGGGTTCGAAATTGCTACGCTCGACTTGTTTTCTCGCTGAACACCCTTTCGAGCTGCTGCATCTGTAGTAGTGTCTGAAGAAACCAAAATTTTATAACTAAAAAACAAGCAGAAAGAGTAATGAGAGAAGCCATTGGAGGGCACAGAAATTAATTCAACCTTGGATAGGGGGAACCTTTGATGGGCTTTTGTCCGTATTTTCGCCATGACCATTGATCTGACGATAAATTCTCACCCGTTGCATGACAAACGGTTCTCTTCTGATTCTTCCTGCAAAAATCAGACAAAAATGGACGATTTTTATGCTAACAAATAACTGCAAAGCTTCAATCTTTTGAACAAATTATCACCTCTTTCTTGTTATTGGAACCTCCTGCTGTTGAACTCGTTTCCTCAACTGCAGCGGTTGTGGTTGTCGCTGGTTTAGAAATTGGTCGAAGTTGAAAATAGGAGCAGCAGGGGTCGTCGTAACGGTGGGTTGTTGTTGTTGCTGCTGCTGCTGCTGCTGCTGTAACTGATGATGTAGGCCACTGGATCCTCCGTCAACATGTCTCGTAAAGCTCGGATCTATGCCTCGATTAATGCCCATGGTGGTGGGGTCGGCGTGTGTCAAAAAGGGTTCGTGAGAATCTGGCAAAGAACCACTTTTACTTAGAGTAGGAAATGCACACGGGTCATCTTCTTCCTCAAACGTCAATGAAGCCAAACAAGCCAAAGGGTTCTCGTGACAACCGTTGTTATTCCCTTTCGAGGATCGATTGCTTCCTACGGCGGACGAACAACTCCTCACCACCGCGTAAAGATCCCAGTCCGTAGCCATGTTTGGTATCCACCAAATCAACGTAGGTGGAAAGGAAATATAGACACGGAAGATAGAAAATGACGGCGCTGACTTTCTCCTGTTGTAAAAGAGAGGAAATTAACAAAGAAAAGGGAAACGGAAGGGAGCATGAGACGATTAGAAAGAGATAGAAGAGAGTGGAAATGGTGGTGCACTTGACTGGGTAATTGCTTATTATTTGTACAGGTGAGAAAATAGAGAAAAGATGTGTCTTACTCATCGGTTTTTAACTGAAGTCTTAAATTTATGTTTTGTAAATTATAAAGTTTCATTATAGAATTTTCCCCATTCAAGAATTTGTATAAATTGAACTCAAATAGCGATCATACCCCTTCTCTCTGCACTGGATTCTTACAGAACTTTTTTAATGTCTTCTTATAATATTAGTATTTGATTTACTAATTGATTAATTTAAATTAAATATTATAGAGTGTAATATGAGAATAATCCTTTCAATCTAAATTATTTTATTTATAAATTTTAAATTTTAAATTTTTAACTTTAACTAAAAAAATCTAATATTTCATTTCACTATAGCAATAGGATGTTGTTGCTACGTTCGACGAGCACGAATGAACACCGTTAATGATGAGTAACATTAAATTAATTTAAAAAACGTTAAATTATAAAGTACTAGACGTATAATTATAAATTAGTTAAAAATCTAAATGTAATTTAATCAAAATACAATAAAACATTAGTTTTAGGGTAAACTATATCATTGACCATCTAACTATTTATCCTTTTTTACTTTAACCACCGATTTTTCAATTTTATCAATTATATCACCTAACTATTTAAATTTTATCAATCACGCCACCTGCCATTAAATATTAACGGAGGAAATGATGTGATAGTTAATAAAATTTATATAATTACACATTTAGTCCTCATTATTTATACATTCTATTAATTTTTGTTCTAACTTTTATTTAATTCAATAAATTTAATCATCAATCCGATTGTGACATGTGTCACTGTGTGATTATATATATATTTTTATTTAATAAATTTTCCATCCAATCAAATGGTGTCATGTGTCACCAATTGAACCAATAACCACTGTTGGTGGGGTTTAAACCTGAGACGCAAGCCGAAAAACTAAGTACCCTAACTACTAAGTTGGACTACTAAATTTGTCTAGTATACAGAACAAAATCTATATAATTTATAATATAGTTAATGGTAATGAGTGACCTTAGAAGAACTCAAAGATGAAATAATTGAATAGTATAAAAATATAAAATATGTATAAACAAATATTATAATTGATCAATAAATGAATATATTTTATTTATATTTTAGATCACATTTAATGCAAAAATTAAAATAAAAGTGAATTTAATATGTTATAATTGAAATGTATCATTTTACATATTTTAAATTAATAAATTGTCTTCATTATTCCAATTTTATAGAACTGAAATGTAGCATATCTTATATTTTAAAATATTATAATGTCGATCAAATTATAATCTTATTTAACAACTCTATATTAAAATAAACTAATTCAATAAAATCAAGTTTCCCCTAAAATTTTCTTCAAATATATAATGAATAAATAATAAAATATAAAATTCTTACTCTAACTAGGATATAAACAAGTCAATGCATAAGTTAAAATGCTTACTAATACGATAGACCCTCAACTATCAGGAAAATTCTAAGTAAACGAAGCTCTTCTTTATAATTCAATTATAATATATAAAATTACTTTTATTTTTATTTTCCATTAAAATGATTTAAAATATAAATAGAATACATTCACATATTAATCAGTTATAATATTTGTGTGTGTATATATATCATATTATTCAATTATTTCATGGTGGAATTCTTATTAGGTCATTTTCCTTTTTTTTATTACCATTAACTATATATATTATGTCGTGATATGTATGTCCTTTGAATGGTGTAGCGGTAATTGATTCAATTGGTGACACGTAACACCATTTGATTGGATAAAAAATTAATTAAATTAAATAAATATATTAAGAAAAAATCCAATCACATAGTGACACATGTCACTATCTTATTAAGGATTAAATTTATTAAATTAATTAAAAGTTAGGACCAAATTTATAGAATGTGCAAGTAATGAGGACTAAATATGTAATTATACAAATTTTATTAACTACCACTTCGTCTCCTCCATTAATATTTAAAGGCAGATGAATTGATTGACAATATTTAAATAATTAGGCGATCTGGTTGACAAAATTGAAAAATCAATGGTTAAAGTAAAAAGGAGAAAATAGTTAAGTGGTCAATGGTATAATTTATCATAAAAATTAATGTTTTATAAATATTGTATTTTAATTAAATTACATTTATATTTTTAACTAATTTATAATTATATGTTTAATACTTTATAATTTAATATTTTATAAATTAACTTAATTGTATTCATCGTTAATCGTCCATACTCGACAAGTGTTATAGAATTTTTCATAGCAATATAAAATAATTTTTGTTATGTTTTTTAGTTTCATTATCTTTCACTTTTTCTTTGACTATGTGAAAATGTCAACAGTGGGGCCGAAGCCCATGGGGCAATATGGGCAGAGGAACTCGAAATGACAATGCTTCCTATGCTTCCAAATTAACCTACACGCACTGCCTTTGTAGATTTATGTACTCGAAATATAATTGGATACCCATTTTTCTTTTTTCAAAAAAAAAAGTTTGGGAATCATCACGCGCTCCTCTTGCACGTGGAATCCTTTCCATTGCAAACCACTTGGTTATATTGGATACTTGCGTGCTTTGCATCTGTATTACATTCACATAATCTCATTAATGATGATAAGTTCAAAAGGAAATTTAGAAGTGGACCGACATTTATCAAACTTATAATAGAGCAGATTGTTGGAACTTTTAAAGCATGATTAGATGTTTTAAAAGCAAGTTAATGGGTGTATGTGAATATTTGCAAAAAAAACAAAAATACAAATCCTTTCTTTGAGTTCAACTAAAATGGGGAAAGGCCAACTTTTTGACTGAATTCTCTTGGTTTACTTCTCTTAGTTGCTTAGGTCGAGATTGACAAACGAAACCAGCCTATGAAGATATAGCTTTGTAGAGCTTTATCTTATCCAAATTTAGGTCATCCCCACTATCACCAATTCCATTTCTTAAAATAAATTATCATTTACATACAAATAATAATTAAAGCATTCGAATTAAATTTGATTTACATTATTTTGAATTTGGATTATATAGAATTTAAATTCAATTCTAATTAAAATATTTCAAATTTAAATTTAATTTGCATTTATAAAAAGTATATATATATATATATATATATATATATAATACTCACAATTAACATCAAGTTAATTCCCTTCCACTTTAGGAACTCAAGGAGAAGTTAACAATGTCACCACGTGTTATCTTTCTTTCTTTCTTCTTCTTCTCTATGATTATATGACTTTGTCACAAAGTTGTAATTTGATGTCCTTATAACAGGTTGAGCACTATGGTGTTCTTTTTCTTCTTCTTAGTTTCTCAAGTGGAAGTTTGAAAAGATAACGTCATAAATTATATTCTTTAAGACACAATTAATTAATTTTAAATAATAATTGAACTAAGTTTTAAATTCAAACAAGACGAGCATAATTTGAATTATAATAATGATAGATATTTAATTTTTGAATTATAATTTATTAATTGATTAAAGGGATCATAATTATCTCTAAAGATATTGGGTTTGAGTATATCGTATGGAGAGATGTTTAAACGTTCATTGTCAAACAGTTAAGAGTTTTTTGAACAAATATTATCTTCCTTGTAATCACCCTAAACTAATCAAACTGATCATTAATTGATTAATCGTGATTAAATACAATAGAGATTAATAAAAAAAATACCATTTTCAATCTAATTTATCATTTCATAACATTATAGTTCAAATCTCATACTTCATTTAAAAGATATAACACTTCATCGATCTCCTAAAATCTACTTATAAATTTTTAAGAATGATAACAACTTAATCCAAAATGAAAAACTATTTTGAACCCTTGTTTGTGGTTTGGATTGGTTAATCAAATTTTTTGTGCTTAAAACAATCAATGACGGACGTATGTTATGAATAAATGTATGAAATTTTAATATATGATAAATTTATAAAATTTTAAAAAGAAAAAACAAACTATTAATAAAGAATTCAAAAGAATCTAAAATATATAAAAATATCACCTCCAATCAACTCCTTTAATTCATCCTTAATCATAATTGCTCGCGTAGTATAATATAACTAATGATATACTTTTAGACTTAATCAATGACAAATTGTATATTAATCTACTAAGTTGTGTTGGGATAATATGTATGGATTTGTCTTGGGCTTTCTCATGAGATACACTCAAGCTCCTTTAAGTTTGGGTAAAAAAATTAGTATTTAATTTTGATATTTATGTGTAAAATAATATTTATTTTTATTGTATAATTAGGTATAGTATAATTAAAGAAATAATGGATTACAAATTTAATAGTTAGATGTTAAAATTTTGGGGCCTTGTAAATTTTAAAAATATTAGATACTTAATTGTACTACAAAATAAAATTTAGCTATCAAATTGTATAAAACAATTAAGTATCTGATTATACAAAAAGTTTAGATAATAAATTTATATACTAATATCTTACTATTTTAATTATGATTAAGGATAAATCGAAGGGTACATTCACATCTTTTAAAAATTTCAAATTATATATTTTCTTTGTATTTTCTATTGATGATATAATTTCACAATTCCTAAAATTTTACATTCTTAAATTTTTAATATAATTGTTTAACTTCTTACATAAAATCTATATTTATTTTTTTTACCTATAACAATTTTTTGAATAATTTTTATAAATATATTTTTACCTAAAGTATTTTTTGTTAACCCATAGTGTCATATGTAGACATCTAGTTAATTTATTACATATTGATTATATCAATTCATTTATTGAATTAATTATTTTTTAAATTTTTTTATAATCATTTATATCTGATTTATTAATTGATTAATTCAGATCAAATATTACAAATATTTAATATGAAGCGATTTTTCAATCCAATTTATTTCATTCATAAATATTACAATTTAAACTCTTAACATTACTTAAAATATTTAATATCTTATTTCATTAGATTTGTTGATTTTAAAATTATTTGTTTAGTTCAATGAACAAAATAAAATTTAACCCATTAACTATATTTTCATACTTAGTAAGCAAATTCGAAAAATATTTAGTCTCAGAACAAATAGTTTTTTAACTTTACCAAAGACGTGGCAGATTCTTATTCGCCAATTCTAATGTCAGATGAAAACCAGGAAGTCTCCATTCTCCAATCCAAATCGCCCTCTTGATATGATTATATGCAAACCTCAGCCGCCATTCTTCGAACGGTATTTTCTCAGTTCTTTAAAAGCTTAGTTCCAAAAGAAAAAAACTTCCCCAAAATCTCACATGGTTTCTTAAAACCCGAACCCGGTTGAGTTATTTTACCTGGATCCGATTGGAATGGCGTTGCCCGGCCGAGGACCGTTTGGCACGGTTGATGCGACGGCGTCCATGATTCCATCCTCGGAGGATTTGAGTCAGAAAATCCGAAAGCCGTACACTATAAGCAAGTCTAGAGAGAGCTGGACTGAACCTGAACACGACAAATTCCTCGAAGCTCTCCAACTGTAACAAACAATTTTCTCTCTTTGCTACGAAATTGCTTTGTTTTCATTTGAAATTAGGGTTTTTAAAACACTAACATGATAATTGTGCAATCTCTTTAATCTTCTCAGGAAACCTATGACTTTTCTTTGGCTATTCAGTTTTAAGGTTTTTTTTATGAAATTCGATATTTAAGATTGTATCTTTTATTATTTTATTTATAAGTAGCTGAAATTACTAGATTGGTTTATGTTATGTTTGTATATGTTCCTTCGTATATTCTGTTAGCTTTAAGCTTCTTATCTAACTGAAAAGAATCAGAATTGAAATAAACTACTTGAATATTTGAAGATGAGAGAGATTTTAGATAGCAGCAATGGACGCGATGTTATGGTCTCTATTTTTCTGTTTTGGCTCTCCTTGTCGATATTCATAGTCGATATGTAATGCAAGCCACTGTGTTATTGTTTGCATTGGCAATTGCAATAAACAATAAACACAGTCCGACTGAAAATGCATCCGCTGCAGCAATAATGCAATATAAATTCCTAATTATGTAGCTGTTATATAGTTTCTTGTTGTTACTTTCGGAACATGTTCAATCATGCTTTATGTGTTTATATTTGCCAAAATGGCTTTCCTGGTCTCACTTGCATTTGTTGTTTTCATTCCCTGGGTTCTGTTCAGATTCGATCGTGACTGGAAAAAGATTGAAGCTTATGTTGGGTCGAAGACTGTTATTCAGGTAAAATTAAAATTTACTGTAATGGTTTTGTATCTTGCAAGGATAGAAGCAGGTGACTAGGGAGGTAGGCGATTTTTTTTTTGTTATGAGTCATACTTTGTAATCATTCCATTGCATCTTAGATTGCTTTCATTTGTTTAAGTAAGAAGCTTGAAATCCGGATGCTGTAAAAACCAGTATTAGACCTTTATTTTTACTTTTAGCATTAGGTGCAGAAAGGAATGCCCACGAAAAACATTTGAAATGAAATGCCTTTTGGTTTTTATAGATTCGTAGCCATGCCCAGAAGTACTTTCTAAAGGTTCAAAAGAATGGAACAAGTGAACACCTACCTCCTCCTCGACCTAAAAGGAAAGCCGCCCATCCATATCCTCAAAAAGCCTTAAAAAACGGTGAGGATATTTGATCTTAAGCATCACCGTAAAATCATGGAGCAAACTCAAATTAATAACCGTGCCTCTGTGTGTCACATGTGGCAGCTTTTGGACACCCTCAAGTACCCGAGCCTCTGCAGTCACCTGCTACTTTACTTGACACTGGATATGTTCTTAGTACCGATCCCCCATCGATGCTTATTAACCCTGTTACTAGAACTGCTGCATCTTCCCAAACAAACAACACAGAAACCATCAATTCCGCACAAGATAAAAAAGGTTTCTTTTTTTTTTCTTCGGATTCTAGCATTGAACTAAATTTTTTAGTAGGGTTGGCCCCTTTAAAATTTTAAAATTTGAATAGTTGTTGCATTTTTTTCTTTAAGGTATTGGGATGACCAATAACTCATGTAGTAGCACTGAAAGTACCCGGAAGACGAGACAAATTCGGGAGATAGCTGATCAGGGAAATCAAGGTCATGCACTGAGAGGTTTGTCTTAAAGTTACCATACTTTTATAATCTTATATGTTATCTATATTATCCTCACACCCTTTAAACTAGCATTTTGCTTGGTGCAGTGTTGCCCGACTTTGCTCAAATATACAGTTTTATTGGTAGTGTCTTTGATCCAAACACCATCGGTCATCTGCAGAAACTTAAGAAGATGGATCCAATAGATGTTGAAACAGTATGCTCTTTTTACAATCTCAGTTTATACAATCTGACTTGATCTTGCTATGGACATGATTGCTAATACTTTTTGTTCTCCTATTTAGGTGCTTTTGTTGATGAGAAACCTCTCCATCAATCTGACAAGTCCTGATTTTGAGGATCAAGTGAGTTTCTATTTCTTAGCTCTTTCTAATGGTTACTTCTTCCTTCACGATATGCATGATGAGACTCGATTAGTAAAAGTAGTAATGTTGGTCTATTAGTAGTTTTGTCTTTCCTTCTAATAGGTGAAGGGGTTGAATGCCAAGAAAATTTATGTTGGTAGATATTGTTTGAATTGCAATGATACAGCCTAAGTAAATGGGGTCTGATTATCCTTTGGGGTCGACAATTTGCAGCACTGTGCTTTCTTCCACGTAAATTACCATGAGATTTCTGTAGTCAGCATTTAGAAATACAACAGTTTGACAAAGTATGATATGATGATGACTCCTAAGATATTACTGATCAATCTTGCATGCAACTGGCTCTGTGCATGATATGTTTTGAATATTGGAAGTTGTTATGTGATATTAGGCTGTAAATTTAAGAGATGAAGAGATTTTTGTTTTCAATGCATCATCACACATATATGCCTGTTTAAATGTTAATGATATCTTGATGTTGGATGATTTCGTTTAGTAGCGCCATAGCTTGTCCCCGACTTTTTTTTTTTTTTTTTTCTTTTTGACTTATCATTAGGTAAAATGTCTACTTCTTAAAACTTTCAAACTTTGAGTATTTTCTTTGGTTAATCTATATATTTGTTCCTAAACCTATAAGATATTGCTTTGTGATACAGAGAAAATTGCTTTCTTCATATGAGATTGACACGGAGACAAATGACAATGGTGATTCTTGTAATGCTGTTGATGACGACCAATCCAAAAGAATCACTTAATATTGTAGGTGATAGGTTTTCTCTAATTTCAGCTGTACATTACCTCTTTTATAATTAATAGACTCTATTTTCATGCCGGGAAAGGACTTAAATAAAAAAGAGTTCTGGACCGTGATATTCAGTAAGTATACATATATGCTACTTGTAGGATCATCGGCTGCAAAGTTTCCAAATAATTCTCCGCATTCATCTGCAACTAAGGGAAGTTTTGGAGAGCCGGGTGTAGAACGAAAGGATAAGAGTTGGAAAGAGAGTGTACAGTGCGTGCTCTATCTTTGTTTTGAAGAGGGGGTGGGGGGATTTATGTTGTACAGTTCTCAGACAAGTTTCGACTGCATAATCTTACCGTGAGGTTATGCCTACTTTCTAATATAAACACAGTATTTTCTATGCTGCTGCTATGGAGGTGGATACAAATATCAGTGTTTTTTTTTCATTAATTTTGTTGAAATATCGGTATCCGATGTATGAATATGAAATTATATTCTTCAAAGAGTTTTCAAATTTATAAAAATGGAAAAAAAAGTTAAACCATGATCCAAATCCAACATGCTTAAGTCTCGAGTAATATAGATATTTCCTTAAGCTTGTTAGTCATGTAACTTTCGTTCATCTTTGTTTACAATTATCCAAATGCTATAACCATGTGTACCATTCTGATTTTAAAGCTACCTAGACACGTTTGAAAGGATTGAACAAAAGATGATTCTGTCCAAACAATTGCGATCAATTTTTTTAATTAAGAGAATAAGATTATCTCAAGATTGAACTCGAGAACTATATCAATTGAAGATTTTATAATATGTTTTTTTCTATTTTACCTTTGATTTGGTAAACAATAATTACAAAGTTGAACAAAAACAGAAAATTCATGGCTAATTGCTACCGTACGGTTTGTTATATAAGTCGTTACATTATTAACTCGATTTCTGATTTTTTTTTAGAACTTTTTCTTTATTTTCTCCCAGATGCTAAAGTACGGTTTGTTATAAGAATTTAGAGTAGAGTACAAGTTACTATCAAAAGTTTCCGATTACCGAACAAGTCTTCAGCCCGACATCTTCAATAGGCAGCCTGTCCTCAGGGAAGGGGCAATCAATCTCCTTCTCAGGCAACAAATTGCACGGAACAGGGGTCACTCGGTTGGTAACTCCCTGAACATCAGTGCAGTTCCATTGCAACTCCTTTGGCTTTGCAGTCAATTTGATATCGACATTCGAAATGCAAATATCCGTGAAAGGATCGTTCTCGATCCCTTCCAATCTCGCTGAATATGTGACATTATCAGCCACTATGTCTTTGTAGTTGATTCCTTTGATCATCGGAAATGCTTTCGGGTCGAATCCGGGGTCTGGATGCTGGCCATAAGAACCTGTCATCCAGAATACATACTTCATTGTACTTATTGTCATGTTTCTAACATAAATGTCTTTCACATAAGCTCCTCTTCCCACAGCAGTTTTAATCCTCACACCAGATTGAGTATTGATTGCTGTAATGTTTTCGGCTCTTACATCTTCGATCCCACCGGACATCTCACTTCCGAGAGCAATCGTGGCACTGTCGGGAGATATGCAGGTGAACCTTCTAATCACCAAGTGCTTGGTGGGCATGTTGAACTTGATCCCATATTGATCCCAACCACTTTTAACAGCTATGCAGTCATCACCCGAGACTACAAAACTGTCTTCAATTCTGGTGTTTGTGCATGAATCTGGAAAAAAGGAAAAACAACGAAATTAGCATTTAAAGGCTCATATCAAACGAGTTCAAAACTTTAACCTATAAATGCAAACACACCTGGGTTAATTCCATCCGTGTTAGGAGAATCAATGGGTGCAATAATGGTCACGTGTTGGATAATTATATCACTGCGATTTCGGTTACCAGTCAGAATATAGATGAAAATTTGGATAAAATAAATTGGTTATAACTAAATCGAGATCGGATTGACCTGCTGTATATAGGATGAACGTTCCACGATGGGGAGTTGATCAGTGTGAGATTCGATATCTGCACCTGATTGGAATACATGACCTCGATCAAGTAGGGCCTGGTTTCATTTAATGTGCCCTCTTTGAACTTCTTCCACCAGTATGCACCTTGGCCATCGATGGTGCCGTTGTTACCTTAAGTTACAAGCCAGATGAGTCAAAAACAACTCAATCATTATTCTGAACTCGGACTTTCGTTTTAAAGTTCATAGACTATTTAATATTCAAAATGATTTAGACAAAAATATAAATTTTGAAACTCATATTTGATGTTCCATTGAATAAAATTTAAATAAATTTGACTCGACCATGAACATAACTACAAAAGAATCATAATGATGGGTGTTGGTTTGGAGTTTACCTGTAATGACGACATCGGTGAGGTTGGTGCCAAAAATAAGGCTGCTGAACCTTCCACTACCGGCGTCTCTTCCCCTTCCGTAAGAAGGCAGAACTGGAAGATGAGGCCACTCCGATTCATCCTGTTTACTTTTTTCCCTCAAATTCTATTTATAATTCCTTTAATCACTTACTTTTTCTTTTACCAAATCTTATAGTATTAAAGCTAAATCCATATTTAATCACTAATTATATTTTATTTATTTACTTCCGGTTCAATTTTCTCGAAATTGAAGTGTTACCTGAGCTCCCAGAATAATAGCATCCTTATGGATGAAAAGAGTAAAATGACTGGTGAGATTAAAGCTCCCTGTTAACCATTTCCCCGGCGGAACAACAAGCTGTGCACCGCCATCCGCCGCGAGCTGGCTGAGATTCGCTATGGCGGCTTTGAACGCCTCCGTGTTGGATGTTTTACCGTCTCCGACTCCACCAAAATCAGTTAAAACCGCGCTGTGTTTCCGACAATTAAGCGCCGGGAACTCGATCACTGTCGCATGCTCGACGGCTCGAAATTCCGCAACGCTCGAACTCAATAATTCCAATAACAATATGGCTGAGATCAACATCTGGATCACCTAAAACAACAAGCCAACATGCTTAGCATTTCCTCGTCACAGTCTATTTTATTTTCATCGATAAGAAAAATAACAATAATTCGAGAGAATTATAATGCGAAAGTATAAATCTCAGTCGAACGTGCTGAGAATAAGATAAACGACGTGGGATTTTCTCGAGAAAAAGAAAAAGAAAATATTACATGGGATTTTCTTAAGAAGTCCATAGCTGAAAACAAATGAGATACACTTGTGATTCTTGGGCAAAAAAGAATTTATATAGAGAATGTTTTATTGTGCAGCAGCTTATATATGGTAAGCAGAATCACGAATGAGATATTGATTTAATGCCATGACTACTAGAATTAATTAAACAAAATAAAGCAAAATTTAAAGGTTTGTAAGATATGTAACGGTAATGGCAAAATTATACATAAATTTATTATTATTCCATTCACTAATAGTATGTGAAATTATGCATTGGTTTTCAACTGAATATTAATTAGATGCTAAAAGAATTGTTGCTATTTCTTGAGGTTTCAAGTTCGAGCACCAAAAGTGCTAGATGTTTGAGAGTTCAATGTTGAGTGGTTGAGAATTATCTTTGAATAGATACCTTAAATTAACCAAAAATAAGGTTGATAATGTAATATTAGAGCTTAATAATATTATTACATTTTGTGTCTTTAAGAGCACAATTTTAATCTAAAATCATTTGAAAGTATAACAATTTCTAAAGATTTAAAAATAATATAATTTGTGTCCAACATATTTATATTGAAAGAATGGTGTTGTTAATCGATTAATGGAATAATTACAAATTATACGGGTGGGAACACTAATTTCATGGATCTTAAGTGATATAATTTGATTGAGAATATCTCAATTATTATTATTTTTTCTCATTTTATCATAAAGAAAAGGAAATTATACAATGTTTAGATTATTACGTGCAAGGAAATCAGAGTATGGCAAAAATTTGGATGTTTATAACCCACGGTGATATCATGCTTGCATGGCTAAAAGGTGCCACTTTTGTCTCTCTTTTTTATTACCAGGCGTTGGATGTAAAAATACTGACGTGGAATGCATCAAGTGGCCTGATGATTGACCAGAATAGTTGGGTCCGGTTCTGCCGGGACCCACTGAATCTCATATCCGGTCTGAAATTTAAAAAATTATCTTTTTCATTAATTTGGATTGAAATATTTTAACTCTAATCACGAAGGAAATGAGCGATGAATTGCGGCTAATTTCTAATAGTAATTAATTAATTAACTAATTAAATTTCAGTCAATATTTTCAGTTTTATTACAATTAGTTTCTATGTTACTTGAACTTAGATAATATTTTTATAAAATTATATTTAATTTATATTTATAACTAAACATCTAATACGATTAGTGTTAATAAAATATTGTAAAGCAATGTTTCAATATATATATATATATATTGTAATGCAAGAGTTTGGAACAAACTTTTTTTAAACTTTAGATTTTTTATATTTTATTTAAATTTAATTTAAAAATTCGTTTTATTATTTTAAAAAATATAAATATATATAAAAAAAGTATACTTAGATTTTTTTGAATAAACTATGTATACATAACTGAGTATTTATGATATCTCTTGTTTATACATTCGCTGTTCTGAATCATTTAGCAATGTAAAATAAATTGATCTACATGGGGTCGATGGTTGATGGAGTGTGTCTCCTTTATGGTAGTGCTAATGAGATTAGAGACTACCAGTGGTTAAAGGCTATCCTTCACAGTTCACACCTTCTGTGCTCTCCGAACTTCAATAATCCGATTAGTTATTTTTCCTTTATAGTTTTTCTTTCTGTTCTTCTCAAAATCCAAACACGCAAGGAGGACGGTATTTATATTATGAAATAAATTTATAAAATTTAAAGAGAAAATAAACTTATAAAATTTCAAAAAATGAAAATATATGTTTAATATAAAATATTTAAAATATATAAAAAAATTTAAAATTTTTAAGGAGACTACCGTTCTCATCCGTCCCTGCTGACGCAACTTCAGTTAACACTCTCTCTCTTTTGGTTTGCAGTTTTCTTTTTTCATTAAAAGCAGTAGTGGAGGCGCTTCTTTTCCCTCTTAACATTCTTGATAAGGTTAGATTCATCTAAATCTTCTCTCTTGATGACATTTTTTTTAGTTTTAATTCTTGATTTGTGTTGTTTTGATTATCTGGTATTTGGATCTGATGCTGATTAATGTTTTAAATTGTTTTATTTAATTAAATATGGTTTCTTGGTAACTTGTTCGAGTGGATCATGTTCTGCCTATAATTGTATTGCAAATTCAATCTGAATTTAGGGTTTTGTTTCTACCATAGGACAGATCTAGATGCTGCTGCTCTTTGGTATGCTAGAGAATTGTGGAAAACTAAAATTGAGATTTGATATACAGCCTGATAAAAATAAGAAATTTACTTTATGGCGTTGGGTTGAATCCTTTTGTTGTTGAATTGTCTGATGTTTTAGAAACTTCAATTTTTCCTTTTACATATTCTTGCTTGAAAAATTAAGTCAGATAGTGCTAGGATTGGTTAGAATTTCTGGAATCGATTATCTTTCAGTTGGGTATATTCTATTTTTTCTATTGATGTTGACCTTTCTTTTCCATTTTAATTTCGCCATGTATCTTTTTTCTGCACAAATTCACTCTCTATTTACGCAATGATGTTATCATGCTAACTGTGCGGATAATCTTTATGCACTTCTCATATTTTTTTGTCTTACCAATACCATGAACGTTGATTTGTTGTGTATCCTTCAGTTCCAGAGTTGTTTACGTTTAACTTGTCTGTTTATATGCTTGAATATTTAGCGTCTCACCAATACCATTATTGTTGAGTTGTTGCTTACCCTACAGTTCCAAGGCATTTTTCATTTAAGTTGTCATGACTCTAAGAATCAACTTGGATCGGTACGTCTTAATGTCCATCTTTGCTTAATTATGTTATGGAGCTGGATGGTTTTATTTTGTTATTTTAGTTCAATCTGTTGATTCCTTTTATGAATTTGTGGTTGAATTTATTGTTGTCTACTTGTCTTTGTACTTTTATCCATATTATCTGCTTTTTACCTGTGAATGTTTGTCAGTTTAATTTGCACCCGAAGTTTGGCTTCATGGTTTATTGACTCAGATGGTGTTCATCTTTTAATACTGTAGGGAAGGCAATGTGAGTTGTTTGAACTGGACTACAAATATAGTCTTATTTGACGGGGTAAGCTTGTTGGTTTTTGTACAAGATGGGTAAATGCAATGGTTGTGGGAAACTAGGAAGGATGCTGGTGAAGGATGGACCTACAAAGTCTTACCGTTCTGCTCTTCTATGTTCCCCTGTTGTTTCTGTTTGGGATTGCATTGTCCGTAAGATGAGATATTCCTACAGACCTGAGTGGGTGTACTCTTAGTGTTATATAATTATATTAGTTCTCAGTAAGAGAATTAATTAGAAATAGGTAGCATCTGAACTTTTTTGGGGAAAAAAAAGGAAAGGACTGTTTTATAGAGAAAGATATACGATTTAGCGGAACCTTCTTTGAAGAGAAAAAAAATATGAGCTAACAGAATTCCGTGTTTAAAAGCTTTTGAGTTCTCATGGATAACAATGCATGCAATAAAGTGCAACCAGTAGTGAGGAAAGTAAAAAAAGAAGCAGGTGAAAGATGAGTTGGATCGTATTAAACAGGCTGAGAAGAAAAAGAGGCGCTTGGAGAAAGCCCTTGCTACTTCCGCTGCCATCCGCTCTGAACTAGAGAAAAAGAAACAAAAAAAGAAGGAAGAGCAGCAGAGGCTCGATGAGGAAGGTGCTGAGATTGCTGAAGCTGTCGCTTTGCATGTCCTCCTTGGTGAAAACTCTGATGATTCATGTAAGGTTATGCTACGCAAGGAAAAGAGGGTTTCAACTGTCGGGATTATGCTGGCAACTTTGATCTATTTATGGGTGGAGGGGCACCTTGCCAACCGCATCAGGTTCATGCAAACTGTGAAGGCTGGGTCACCAATGCATATAGAGCTCAACACGAACGGGCTGAGTTTGGAAACAATGACTGGTCATTCTCATATGTAGACTATGGAAGGGATCTTGCTGCACCATATTTTCAGGATGGAGGCTGGGGAAGTGCAGGACTTTCGGCTGGTCTTATCGCATGACAGGTTGTTTCGACACTCCAGATCAGGGAGACTGCAGAGGTGGACACATTCGTCCTCAACGGGATGTTGAGAGGCATGCATCAACGACTTGCTCTCACCATCTCAATACATGTGATACATAAATGTGTTGGACAAGTGATTGAGAATGTTGTTGAATTTATTGAAGAGCTGATGTTTTGTTGTTGAATCTAACATTTTTAAGTTGGTAAAGACCAACCACCTGTTTCAGTCAGAATGAAGTGCATATATCAGCAAACCATGGCCAGCATATTCCCAAGGGAACAAGGATCTTTCACCTCTTAGCGCTCTTTGCATGGTAATATCATTCATGGCCACCCAAATGTCCATAAGGATCGTTTTTAATTGAAAATATACAAATTAAAAATAATTCAATTAGATTCATAAATTGTTTGAAACCAAAGCTTTCATTGCAAAAATGTCCGTGGGAATTAATTTAAAGAGCAATCTCTTAAATAAATGTGTCAGTATTTTTCCATAAATTATGTCTCAATAAACTAAAAAGACTAAGAAAAAATTAATTATTTTATATGGCTTAAATACTAATTAATTATAATAAAATCAAAATATATTACAAGATAAACAAATTATTTTTAAGACACAATCAGGTACAATATTTAATCGCCCTCTATTAAAGTAGTATATAAATTACTAAACAACACATATGAAGATCTTTTAGGCGACAAAAAGATCAATCAAAAGTTCGTTAAAAAATTATTTGATTCGATGATCAGGTAAAATTCAAATTTGTTCTCTCTTTGTTGTTTTCGCCAAGTTTTGATTCCCAAGTCTAAAGTGAGCATGTAGGAAGCTAAACAAGGCAAGGAGAAGATGCATGGGAGATTAGCTAGTGGTCGACCATTGATGGTTCATCTCGCTAGCGAGAAATACTCGGAGGAAGCTCTACATAATTCTTTGAAAGTCTGTGTTGGTAATGCTCAATCACACATAGTATTGGAAACACTATTGAGAATAGTATTTAAGGCTTGGCTTTCCCACTTCCTTGTTGAGTGATAGAGAACAAGGGGGACTCTCGCGCACAGCCACCGCCGTCCGTCTGTCTCGGCTCGGCTCGGCACGGCACGACACGGCTTGGCTCGTGGTCGTACGTGTCTTCGACACGTCCGCGCGGATACTATCTTTTTAGAGAAAACTCTTGAGGAATTTCTCTTTGAAAGAAACAAATGGAAAAATGTGAAAGATTTCAACTGATATTTATAGGCTGCTGAGGACTGTTTAATTTCAAATTATAACAGCTGGTTTATGAGAGTTATCAGAAATTAAACAGCTTTTCCTAAATTAAATCAAAAACGTTAAGATGTATCTGGACTGATTTCCAGCTTTGTACAGAGGAGACAAGCTGTTAATATCAGGAATTACAGGAGTTATTTGATTTAATTCCATGGGTTACATGATATAATTTCAGGAGTTATAACAGCTGAATAATGATGCAATGAACCTGGACTATTTTTGAGTCAGGTTCATCTAGATGTTTCAACTGTTACAAAAGAAGAGATTTAATCCTGAAATTTTATGGACGATTTTAACCCTATTTCTAGTCTATAAATAGAGGGTTATATTCAGCTTCTCAACTCACTCTCAAACATTCACAATTCACTACAAAAGTGTTTTCCACAGTTCTCTCTGTGAGTTCTCTCTGAGTGTTTTCCAATCAGAAGAGCAATACCACCAACAGTCCACTCCGGTTTCGGGTGTACGGAATTCGGAGCGACCGTGTTAACCTCTGGGGACGGTCCGCCTACTGCAACGATTACACACATCGGGGAAAATTCGTTTCTAAGGCAGTGGTTTTTACCACGACACGGTTTAAGAATTTGTTCCTTTTAATTACTGTTTATATTTCCAGTCAGTGCTAACGGTGTAGTTTTACAGTTCATATATCCAACAATTTAGAAACGAAGTCCATATACTGCAATCATGACAACACCTT